ATTCGGAACCTTTTTGTAAACTAATTTTGTTTTTTTTACCCAAACCCTTCTAGGTGTTGGAAACCAACTATCCCAATTTACGTAACCCTAGAAGAGTGAAAAAGAAATTGTAAAACTTAAAAATACCTATTTTCGATTACAAAACAGCAACACAGAAAAACATGTGTAAGCAATGTCACACGATGTCACAAACAGCCTAAGGTAGCTGTCGCACAAGTAGCAAGGCTGCTGAAAGGTGTGGAAAGGTGTTAGCTCTGATACCAAGTAGAAATATAAAAAGAAGAGAAAAGAGAGAATTGCGTTAAGGCTTGAATGAGATGAATTACCCATTCACAGCTCTAGTATTTATAGATAAAATGAGCACATGCTCATATTACAAGAAAAGAAACAAAATCAAATCATTGCATATTCTATGCCTAGACATATGCGTAAATAAAGTCAAATACATGATTAGTGGCTATCATATCTCACAGATAATATGGTAAATCGCATCCCATGATTTGGGCCTATCATATCTCGGCTATTATGGTAAGTTATACCATAAATCGTGGTATCATAAATGCTAACAATTAATATTACTATTATTAGTACTGTTAGTAGTAGTATTATATCTTATTTTATTGTGTATCAGTGTTAGTATTACATTCCATATTATTTTTTGTTTTCTCTAATTATTTATCTTTTTAGTTTTTTTATCTTGACTCGCCTATTGCCAATATCTAAGGCCGGATGTGAAAAGTACCACAAAAATAAGTCACAAAAAATTTATCTAGTAACATAGAACATAGGAACATTAATCGATAGTTGCAATGAACTAGTGGATACCTTAAAACGAAGAAAAGTCAACATAATTTGCTTACATGAAAGTAAAAAAATAAGGAAAAAAAAAAAAAAAAAAAAACCTAGAGAGATTGGGGAGGGATATAAGATACAAGCTTCTCTATTCGGGGGGAAAAGGATAACCAACGAAGCAGAGTAGGCATAGTAGTTGATCACTACACGAGGGATAAAGTCGTAGAGGTGAGAAGACAAGGGTAAAAAAGCTAGATAAACATATCTTGAATATAATAAGTGCATGTGCTCCTCAAGGAGCATTAGATGACACTATAAAGAAATTTTTCTGCATCTTTTTAGATGAATTAATACAATCTATATCAAATGATGAGAGTATTTTGGTAGGTGGGGGGACTTTAACAAACATGTAAAAGTTAATAGGTTGGGATATAAACGAATCCATGGAGGATATGGTTTTGGAGAGCAAAATGAGATAAGAGAAATAATTTTAGACTTTGCAAATGTATATGACTTAGATGTAGCTAATACTTCCTTAAAAAGAGAGAAAAACATCTAATAACATATAAAAGTGGAATGAGTAAAACATAAATTGACTATTGCTTGAATGGAAGAAGGGAATGGACTTCATATAAACGATTATAAAGTAATTCCTGGGGAGAGCGTCTCAAACCAACATCTTAACCTAAACCAAATTAGATGTATTAAGGACATAGTTAACACAATATTACTCAAATAGAGCGATATATTAAATAGATGGAAAAATTACTTTCAAATTCCATTAAATTAGGAATACCTTAAAGAAGAAGTAGAAGGAAATGAAGTTGACATAGGAATAATTGATACAATCACCAACAAGGAGGTAGAGGACACACCTAAGAAGGGGAGTAATAAAACGGTAGGCCCAGATAATATTCCCCTTAAGGCTTGGCGAACGTTAGGTAATGAATGGCTAACAAAGTTGTTTATTAATACCGTAAAACAATATATGATGATGAATGAATGGAGAGAAAGTACAATAGTACCACTTTACAAAAATATAAAGGATATACAAAATTGTGGCAACTATAGAGGAATTATATTAATGAGTCATACAATGAAAGTATGGGAAAGGGTAATAGAACAAAGACTAAGGAAGGAGTCCATGGTATCAAATAACCAATTCAGATTTATTCCGGGGAGATCAACAATTAGCTAAAACACATAGAAGTAAGCAACAAGACTTTCATATGGCTTTTATAGACTTAGAAAAAACGTAAGACAGGGTCCTAAGAGATATAATTTGGCGGGCCCTACAAATAAAACAAGTTCCCTTAAAATTTTTAAAAAGAATCCAAGATATGTATATAAATGCAAAAATCCATAAACATAGGATTATACAGAGGATGGATTCTAAGCCCTTACCTTTTTTGTAATAATCATAGATGAAATAACAAAAGACTTCCAAAATGAGATTCCAATGCGTATGATGTTTGTCGATGATATTGTGCTCTTGGATACCTCTAAAGAGAACTTAACAATAAAACTAAAAATGTGTAAAAATGCTCTAAAATGGAAAGGATTGAGAATTAATCGAACTAAAACTGAGTATATGGAGTGTAAATGTAACAAAGGGTTGGACAATTATAATATAATGATAGAACTTCAAAACCAAAAGGTTACTCAAAAGAATTAATTTAGGTACCTAGTGTTGATAATATATATATATATATATATATATATATATATAAAGAAAAAAAAAGGAAAAAAAGAAAAAGAAAAGAAGAAGAGATAGATAATGACATAACTAGTAGAATAGGTGCGGGTTGGACAAATTGGAGGCAAGCTAGTGGAATATTATGTGATAAAAGAATCACACATAAGCTAAAAGGAAAATTTTATAGGACCGTTATTAGACCAACTATGTTGTATGGGATAGAGTGTTCCCTAAAAAAGGGACAAGAACAACACCCTCATGTAGTGGAAATGAGAATGTTAAGATGGATTTTTGGAATGACTAGAAAATATAAAGTTTCTAATGAGAGTGTGAGAGAAAAATTAGGTGTAGCACCCGTTTGTGAAAGAATTAGAGAGAGTAGATTGAGATGGTTTGGACACATCTATCGGAGACCTAGAGACACGCTGATTAAGTGAGGGAGACTAGTTGTCATAGAAGGTAAAAGACGGAATGGGCGACCCAAAATAACATGGGATGAGGTTGTTAAAAATGATTTTAAAAAGTTAAACATGGTAGGGGAAATAACATGAGAGAAAAGATTGGAGAGAGAGAATTCAAGTGGCCAACCCCAGTCATGTGGGATTAAGGCAAGGATGATGATGAAGATGATTTATGATTCATGCTTTATGCTTTATAACTTTATATCATTTTATTTATATATTTTTATTAGACAGTATTATGCTTTGGTAAGGTGATTAGGGTTTTCTGGTCAAGTCAGTCATTCTTATGTTTGTACTATTTCATTTTAAGTTTTGTTAATTGATTGATTGAAGCAATGAGAGTGGAAACTCAATCAATCAACCTATTTGGAAACACGTGTTTGGAAACTCTCTCAAAAGAGAATTTTAAAAGAATATAGCTTCCTATGACACCATTATAAATACGTGGTTATAGTCAATCTAGAGTATCTCTTCAGGTTTCTAACACATATTTGAAAGAATATTTATTTTAGAGAGAAAGAAAAGCTTTGAGATTTAATCTGGGATTTATCATAGACCATTAAGAGATTCAAAGCAAAGAATACATCAAAGACAGTCAAACAAATCAATCAACCAAGCAAATCTTATGATTAAGGATTAATAATAAAGTTTGTAGTCTAGTAGCAGCAGAGATCGTGAAAATCTTCTGATATGAGTTTGGGTCAAAGGTAACTAGGGAATTCTTAGAGTAAAGTCTGTTCAATGTAGTCTTTAATACCTTTCTCGTAGTGGAAGTAATAAAAATCTAGGAATTAGAACCATGTGGATTGATCATGGGTAGACTTGGTCCAGTGATTTTTTCCCTTTTAATGTTTTCCACATAAAAATCTTGTTCTTTTGTTTTCATTTACGTATTGTTTTACGTGTCTCTGTAATTGCAATTGAGACATGTGTTTAATTAATTAACTAAAAATTGAACAAGTATTAACAAGAATCTAAGAAGTTAATTATACATATTAATATCCAATAGACTTATTCACCTTCTCTCTAGGTATAATTGAATCGTGCATACTTTGACATAACAGAAACCTGAAACGGTCCTACTATCCTCTCATTATATCAAAATTTAGGCCAATTATACTTGGAAGCAAGAGTTAGCCGGAACTGTCATTGGAGGCAAGCTTATTGTTAGAATGGACCTTTTCAAAAGCAATTTCTCTAGCATTCCAGTTGTATTATTTTTTACAATGTGCCATTGGAGTTATGGACCAAGGATGGGCTAAGTTTTGTGGTTACTGTTATTGAAAACCTTCTTACCCTGATTAGCCTACTTGAACTAAGAGTAGGCTTACATATGCTCAGGTTTATGGTGAGATTAATTAGCACCAACCAAGATATTCCCAAATCCCTTGTGAGATTCAGGATGAAGTTCTTTGGGAACAACAAAAATGACCAACATTGCATAGCTTTTGAACATTTATTGATATTTTGTCTCTCTAATTCAAATTCTTCTCAGAATCCCTCAAAATCGAAGAAATTCAAAAAGGAGTAGAGATCTATTGGGAGGGTCAATGCCAATTCTAGTGAATGGCAAGAGGCTCCTCAAAGGAAAGGGGAAGATATTGTTGATCCTTCTATTTCTAAAGATCCTTCAAATAAGGGAAATGGATTCGCAACTACAAACACATGAAAATCTTGTCTCACTTCCCTAAGAGGGGTGTGCTTAGCTTGAGTATCTTGAAAGCCATGAGAAGACCGATGTGTCCTACTTGGGAGAGCCCATAAGAATTTCTCATAGAGAAATGTTGAAGATCCAAGTCCTTCTAAGGAGGGTAGTTACTCTAAGGACTCTTGTCCAGAGGACTCTTGATTAAATAATATGTTATGGACTTTGTTGAAACAACCATAATTATTAACTTACAATACTGACTTGTATAGTTACTCTTAGGAGGGAGAGCAAGTCTGTCAAGCAGTTTGATTTAAAGTTTTTTTAAAGCATCATCATTCAAAATTAAATTTGTATTAGAATTGTGATGAAGAGTTAGTTGAAAATCTGAGTTTTCCTTGTACAGGGTGTTGGACATATTGAAGTAGCTTTGTGCATCATCGAGGAAGATCATTTTTTATTTTTTGGTAAGTTGTACTTCATTTCACAGTAATTGAATATTTGGGATTTTTAACAATTAAGCTAATAATGTACATATTCATAAAGAGATGAAATTTGAACATATCTGATGTTGACTCATTTTCGTGAAACTGATTTGGTTTTAAATAACAATGGAAGTGATCAAGAAAATTTGGAATTATATAAAAATTTAATATAAGATGATTTTGACAATGTATATCTCACCAGTGTCCTCTTGACGACTACTTAAAGTACATCAGAATGGCCTCATATAGTAATTTTGATTTATTATGTTTAATTTTATCATTAACTCATAACTTCCCATGGTGATGAAATATACATGTATTTTATGTTTCTAAATGGCTAAAAAAGCGCTCCAGTGATTCTGTGTTATACTATTTATCTGTTTCTCTGTGATTAATGTTAGGCTTATCTTAGTTACTCTTTTCTCTGGGCATTCAACTAGGATATTTGGCACTTTCTTATTGCTCCTCTCAATGTAACAAAATATCTATAATATATTATAGAGAATTTTAGATTGCCTAGGAATACTTATAGTAATAAGTATATCAACTAGGGCATTCAACTATGCATTTTGTCAACATATAATATACTATATGTTGACATAGTAGGAATACTTATAGTAATAAGGTAACCTCAAATTGCCAATTTCTTTTAGCTAAACCACATACAATCAGAACAAAATGCATTAACATTTTTGTTCCCGAAACAAAATAAGAACTTTGTAATTGTTTTGAGTTACATTTATAAATTCGCTGATTTTGCTATTGACTAGTTGAATGTGGGCACATAAATGATTTGATTTTAAAAGTAGTAGTTTGCTGAAAATCTTCAAGGTTAGCATGGTTTATTTGGCAGCCTGAAACTAGGCCTGGGCATGAGCTTTAGTAGCCTTGTTCATGCCTGGTTCTATTAATCGAGCTTGCTCAGAAGGCAAATCGGGCAATTAATAAGTAGCCTTTTAACTGTAGAAAATATTATTAAATAACTAATTGTCACTTTGTTTCTAAAATATTGTTTAAACATTCTTTAGTAGCCTTTTTAGGAGTTTCACAAACTTCTTTAGACAAGGGTAGATCAAAATTCAAGCTGAAAATCTTTTGGTTATTTTCTCATCGGTAGAACTCTTCACAAAGCTATCCAATATGTCATGGACTAGAGTTTAGAATTCCCACATAACATTAGTAACATTTTACCACTTCCCTAAGAAACACTTAGTAGTTCCAAAGCTTAATTAATTAGTACCCAAAAACAAGAATGACACTTTTGACTTTTTCCCCAAGACACTTTCCAAAGCACCATTAATTATTTGCATCAGACCCTCCTCCTTGAAAAAAACTCGCCCTCAAGTTTGAAGCAATTTACCCTGATCTATTAAAATCCTGAATAAAACCTTTCAACCTTTTTTTCTTATTTTCCTTACTCAAACAAAGCACAATAATCTTCTTTCACTAGCAAAGAACATCTTTGCATGACCTTCCCGAGCCTTGTTAGGAATCGTGGTTCATATTCCTATTTTAATTAGGTTTTTATTTTATTAGCTAATTTCTTGTCAGACAAGTCTTAAGTTCTAAGGAATTTGTGCCAAAGTGAAGATTAAAGCTATAATGAATTATCTGATCAATGCCGTGAGAGCAATGATTGGCTTGATGAAATTTAAGCTAAGGTGAAGATTGTTAAAATTATGGCTTATATTCCTATTCTAACTAGGTTTCTATTTTATTAGGTAAAGTCTTGGGTTTTAAGAAATTGTACCTAATCCTTTCTAACAAGGAAATGAGTTTGGGACTCTATAAATAGATACTTAGGTTATGGGTTGAGACTTATGAGTTGAGCGAGAAGTAGCTCGTGGGGGTTCAAGTTGATGGGTAGAGGTGTAGTTACACATTAGACTCTATAAATAGATACCTAGGTTCTCTACTATTGTAATATCTCTACATGATATAGTAAATCTCTTCACATCTGTGAACGTAACCCTAATTTTGGGTGAACCGCGTATATATAGTGTTTTTTTGTGATCGTCTTTGTTGTTTAGCTTTCGTTGTACCCCTATAAGTGGTATCAGAGCTAATGGTTTGTGTTGGGACGCTTGTTCAAAGAAGATCCAGAAAAGACAATCGGTCTCAATTCTACGACAAGGTTCAGTTGCAAGTGGAGGCAATCAATAAGCGTGTTTGATCACGATGGTCAGCAAATCATGATAGGTTACATGGCATGGAGTTCAAGTAATCAAGGTGAAGCCTTGTAGTTTGACTGATCGAGGTGGGGATAATCAAAGTTTTGTAGGAGGATGAAAAAGATTGAAGCTGCATTGAATTGTCCAACTCAATTGTTGTGTTATGGGAAGTGACAATTGGCTTGATAGAACTTGAGCCAAGGTGAAGACTGTTAGGAATTATGGCTCATATACCTATTCTAATTAGGTTTTTATTTTATTAGGTAATTTCTTGTCAGAAAAGTCTTGGGTTCAAGGAATTGTATTCCATATCCAACAAGGAATTGTGTTTGGGACTCTATAAATAGATACCTAGGTTGTGGGTAGGGATGCCGCTAGTCAGCTCTAGATCTCAAGTTGATTCCCAAGTTAAACCTTTGGGCGTCTGGTGGTGTTTATGGCTTGAAAGAAATAAGAGATCCTTTGAAGGAAAGGAGACTCCTATTTCCGTGTTTAAGTTCTTCATTATTACCACTCTATTTTGCTTGGTTGTAGGGAGAAATTATAGATATTTAGAAGAGATAGTTTATTTCTTCAACTCTGAAAGAGTTTAGAAGCCCTATTTGGCCTTGTGTAGTTCTCTTGGGATGTGTTCCCTTTTTAAGCACTTTTAATACAATCTTACTTTTTAAAAAAAAAAAAAATGGTTCCCACTTTCTCACCTTAAATCCACAATATGCAATTTGAACAATGATGGTTGCCTCAGCTTTTGACACTTTGTTTGCTGCTTTTTCAGACTTCTCCTCTTCCGCCTTCTTTTTTCCTTGATATTTTCCTTCATTGTTATCAAATTCTGGAAGTAATGAAGTTGAATCTACCCCCATGATTTCTTCGTCTTCATCTACATTTTTGAAAGATTCATCAAATGTTAGGTACTTAGCAGACTTGAATCTTGAATCCTCACGTGTAGGACCAAAATTCATGTTTTATAGTACTTTTAACCTTTGATGTCCATGTGCTTTCTGACAGTCTAACTGATGTGGAAGCACTACGTTTTGCACTTCTGGATTGCATATGTCACTGAAATCTTTCTTTAGTAAGTTGTCTTATCCAATTTTCACCGTGATGTGCTTTTGTTTGTTGTCCTCTTTGACCCCAAAATCCTTATTAAAAGGAGAAATGATTATTGTTCTAATATAGTGCTCAATCGAGAATGGAGCTAGCAGCATTACCCTTTGAACCCGAGGGTAATTGATCTTTATGGTGCTTCCTCTGTTAATTTGATGTTGTATATTTTGAAAATATTCTTTTGAGGCTATCTTGCTTCCTTTCCTAGTCATAGATCCATAATAATTACAGATCTTACAGCGAGGCTTTATTGGAAATGCTCTGATACCACTTAAAGCAAACAGAAAAAAGGCAGAAGTCTTCTTAAGAAAGACTAGGGTACTCGAATCACCGTTGCAACCTAGATTTCTAAAGGGAAATATGGAATCGCGTGATGGGAAGTTTAAAATTTGATAATATTATAAAAAATAATATGGATTTAAGACTTGGTTACAATAGATAAGACGGAAGTACCTTTTATAAGACAACTACTAATGACACTTGACTTCTCCTAAAATGACTTTTAGAATTCCCACACAGCATTATTGTTGCAACAAACATAGTGAACCTAGAACAACTTAGGAATCTAGACAAAAAAGTATACACGCTACGCACAAAGAACACTAAGATTTAGCGTGGTTTGACACAAGTTGTGCCTACGTCCATGGTGAACATCCCAACTCTCGCTTTCACTCTTCCTTTGTGATTTTCATTGTTCTCTCAATATTCCACCCCAAACCCTAAACACCCTTATATATCGAGCTACAATAGAGTACTAAATAGGGGCCCACAACCCGCAAGCAAAAAGAGGGCTAAAGTTTTTCCATTTCCCTAAGTAGCGCTACCAACCCCAGAGCTTTGAATTGTTAACATTTTACCACTTCCCTAAGTAAATACCTGGTAATTCCAAAGTTGAACTAATAAGTACCCAAAAACAAGAATGACTCTAAGGTTGGGATGTCCTTCCTTGGCCTTTGGCCCTAGGGTATGCCCTAGTATTTTTACTTTTTTTTTGTTTTTGTTTTTTCTAGTTATTTGTACATCTTTTTTGATCCTATACACTTTTCACTTTACCCAAAAAAATAAAGAAAAAAAAAATAAGACAGAAATACCCACACCTGACACCTTATACTCCAATTATTACTCAACATATTTTACAGCCAAAACCCAAGCCATCTTAATGTGTGTGTCCAAGATCCACTTATCATGCTTCCTCACTCGCCATTAGTGTTTTTCTAACTCCACTAACAATCTCTATTATCTCTGTGAGATAGGACAATAACACCTTCACAGACCAATAAACTCCCTCACAAGTGTACATTTATCTCATTCTCCTAAGTCTAAAAAATGAGCTAGATATCTATTTATATTGTCCAAACCTAAGTCACAAGATTCGCGTGTATTGGGTGCCGCTCCGTAGCTCAAAACGCAAATCAACGCTTTGGGAGCGGATGTGGCTATAATTCGCGAATTCAAGTTTTACAATTCACAAATTCAGATTTAAAATTCACAAATTCAGATTTCCAAGTTCGCAAATGGAGAAGTAGACGAAGTTTTTTACATCTGAAGAGAGGAAGAAGAAGAAAAATGATTGTTGCATCAAAGAACCTGTCCAATCCAGAGGCTTAAGAACTTGAATAGAAGCTGAAATCACCCTATTTGATTGGGAATGGTAGAGAATCATCGGCCTCCACCTAGACCACCAGATTGATTCGTCCTCTTCTGACCATGGCTTATCGCATGCCAAGTTTGATATATCCTGTCGTTGTGCCCTAGCCTCCGTTGAGGTTGAGTGGTTTGTTTGGTGCTATACTCATATGTATTTAGATGATGTTTTCTTGGGCCTCTTGTTTTTAGGCCTTTATTATTGGCCTTGTTTTGTTCTAAATGTATTCTCCCAATGACCCAATATATATTTATCCAATCAATCTATAAAATTGCCTAACTTTCCTAAAAAACATATATATATATATATATATATATATATATATATTCAGTATAAAATAATATATTTGAAATACAATAGCAACAAAAAAAAATATTTATTAAATTAATATAATCATATTTCACATAAAATAAATATATAAACATTAAAATATACAATATATAGGTCCTCCCCCCCTCTTACCTAATTGTAAACTTTGCCACTCTCGCGCTCCCACTCCCGCATTATGCGACTTTCGTCCAAACCCTAAATCCTTTTTATCGGTAAGGTTAATACAAATCCTTGTGAAAAAAGATTACAGTTACTTAGAGCCTAAGCATTTCTTAGTAAGAAATCTTCTAAATAAAATAAACTTTAAATTTGAAACCTAACTAAATTACGAGTTTCAGACATAAATTCCCAACAATTTCAACCTTAACAAATTTCGTGAACTTATTGATCGCTATTTCTATGGCAATTGAACATCACACATCGTAAAATCTGTTATGAATCCATGACCATAATGATAAAGTGCAAGCCAATTTTTACTTGGTACTGGAATTACATTACAACATCTATTAAGGCTTTTCTTCTATTTTTTGAATTTCTTTTAAATAGAACCGAACTCAACAAGACAAACCTTGGGCACCACTTGTTGCCCATGAAAATGCTTACATATAGATCCCATCCCAAAGAATAAGCAAATCACTTACGAACACAAAATCTTACGCGATTTGACAAATCTGTCTGCTTCAATAAGAAGAGATAGTCCGCTTCAAATTTCATTAAGAATTACAAAAGTAGAAAAACACACAAGTTTTTACTTTATTTCAGAATATTACCGTATATGTTTTTTAAAACTTTTGTAGACAGCCTCTGGAGTAAACATGGATCCCCCATGATATTCACTCCTTAGAAAAAAATATTTTCCTTTTCAAATTGATGTGTGTCCATGGAAAAGAGTTGGTTCTTGAGAATCGTCCTTGATGTATTATAGGGAAGCTTATTGTGTTGAAACCTTGGGAAATAAAAGTGTTAAGCTAGTAATGGAAAGGCTGAATAACATTTCTTTTTGTAGCAAAATTTCCATATTTTTCTTTATCGATATGTGGACAAAGATAAATCTGCCTGCCAATACTAGTTCTATGTAAATCCTATTCGATTAGATGAGAAACTACTTGAAGTCACATTACTTTTGCTAGAGTTTGTGTGGAGATCTTAATTGATGACGCACTCCAAATTCAAGTAATGTGGATTTGGATGGGAAATACATGGATTTTAGGGTTGAATACCTTGGAAGCCACTTGTATGCAGTGCACACAAGGCTTAGGTACTGTTTGACACTTAATTATGAATATCATTTGAATATCAATTTGACACTTATCTAATTAAGTGTTTGATAATGCAATTTAAATATCATTTAAAAACGCAAGTGCCACTTGTATGCAGTGAGCATAAGGCTTAAGTGTTTTATATAGTAACTTCACTTATCACCAAAGGCTGAACACTTAAAACTAAAAAAGATATCTGAAAAATCTCAATTAATTGTTACTTAAAAACCTCAGCACTTAAAATTTTCAGTGTTATCAAACAACACCTTACTATTATTCAAGAATGGAGAGAAGTGATGCAGCCTGAAGAGACCCCCAAAGAAGAAATGTTGATTGGGTGGAAGTCCAAAGGACGAAGCCTATAAATCGAAATATGGCAACTTCAAGTAAGAAAGTGGACTTTAAAGATGAGGTTAAGAATGTTATGGGTTCATGCAGAGATGAAGAAGTTTGTGGCAACATGTTTAAGATCCTCGATTCAAAATTATCCCCAAGAAATGTGGTGCTTCTGACATTAAAGATTTTAGACCAATTAACCTAGTGGGTTGTATTTACGAGCTCGTGGCTAGGGCTCTTGCTCTTAGGATAAAGGATGTCATGGATGGGATTATCTCGGATTCCCAGAATGCTTTTGTTGAAGGATGGCAAATACTTGATTTAGATTTTATTCCAGGCAAATGTGTTGATTTCAGATTACAAAGTGGTGTTCCTGGAGTCTTATGCAAACTTGACATTAAAAATGCTTATGATCATGTGAACTGGAATTTCCTGATATATTTGCTATAGAGAATGGGATTTGGAAGCAGATGGAGGAAATGGATAGAGACATATCTTTCGTTTGTCAAGTTCTCTGTTCTTGTGAACGGATTTCCTGCTAGTTTCTTTAGGTGTACCCGGGATTTAAGACAGGAGATCTTTTATCATCTTTCTTTTTTCTGATTGTAATGGAGGGTTTGAGCAGACGTATGAGGAGGGCAAAAGATCTCGGTCTTATAAAAGGCTCTAGGGTGGGTAGAGATTTAGTCCATCAGTTGGAGATCTCCCATTTACTTTTTGCGGATGACACCCTGGTTTTTTGTGATGTTGATGTGCCTCAACTTAGATATTTGAGATGTATCCTGGCTTGCTTTCAGGTAGTTTTTGGATTGAAGGTCAATGTGGCTAAGAGCGTGCTTGTCCCGATAGGGGAGGTTCAGGATATTTCCTCCTTAGCTGCAGTCCTTGGGTGTAGAGTGAACTCTTCTCCTATCCCTCATTTGGGTTTGCCCCTAGGGGTTTCCTCTAGAAGAGTGGGGAGTTAGGACCCTGTGATTGACAGGTATGCGAAGAGATTGGAAGGATAAAAGAAGCAATATTTGTCTAAGGGGGAAAGTTACTCTTATAAAGAGCACTTTATCGAGCCTTCCCACATATTTTTTTATCTATGTTCCAAATTCCATGCTCTGTTGCTGATAGGATTGAAAAAATACAAAGGGATTTCCTTTAGGGCAGAAGGGGCGATGAGTTTTAAGTATCACCTTGTCAGATGGGAGCAAGTTTGCAAGCCCATGAAGTTAGATGGTCTTGGTATCAGGAGATTGGTTCCCTTTAATCAAGCTCTCCTAGGTAAATGGTTGTGGAGATATGGGAGGGAAAGACATCGCCCCTGGCGAAGCCTAGTTTCATGTCGGTTTGGGGAAGAGAGTGACGGTTGGTCTACCCGTCCGGTTTCTCTTATGGGAGGAGTCGAGGTGTGGAAATCCATTCAGAAGGGATGGGATGTCTTCTCTTCTCACATCATATTCAAAGTTTGTGATGGTAGATGTGTTTGTTTTTGGGAAGACCTATGGTATGGTGACCAGCCATTATCTCGTACATTTCCCAGATTATACAGTATTGCAGTTGATAGACATGCCTACGTAGCTGACTATTATCGACTCGATAATAGTGGAATTACGTGGGATGTGTACTTTCGGCGTTCTTTTCAGGATTGGGAGATGGACGAAGTATGTGTTCTTTTGGATATGTTGTATCGGCAGGAGGAAATTGGCAGAGGTAGTGACAATCTAATAGGTTTCCCTCTTCCCATGGTCGTTTCAAAGTTCGATCCTTGTTTCCATGTCTATCTAACTTTGATAGCCTTAAGAAGTGGTGTGTGCGATTATTGGAAAGGATGTTGTGTGAGAAGTGGTGTACGTGATTATTGATTCATGCTTGGAGAGGATGTCATGTGAGAAGTGGTGTACGCGGTTATTGGAGCATTGTCCCACATTGCGTATGGTGGTGCATTTGGAAGGAGAGGAACAGTAGAATGTTTGAAGGGAAGGAGTCGTCCTCGGCGACGATGAAACTTCATATTATTCACTCTCTTTTCAATTATGTGAAGAGGAGTTCTTGCTCCTCTTCTGATGATTTAATCATTTTTTTGGATTCTTTGGGGCCTTAAACCCCAGTTCCACTTCTGTATAAAGGACGCGTTCCCTTGTTGAACGCCTTTTTTATTTAATTTTTCCTTTAAAAAAAAAAAAAAAACCTCAATCGATCAGATCGTAGCTTTTCTCCCTATCACATATGTCTCGCCTTCTAGCATTGATAGCGGAGGTAAGAATAGTTGATTAGTGTTTTTCTTGTGCTAGAGTTTTTTTTTTGCTTAGCCTCTTGGATTGTTGGAGGATTATCATAGGCTCGTAGCTCTAGCTAGCTTTCTTCTTAGCAGCTATTTAGTTCTGTTGTGTCTTGTTTCAAAGCCTCCTACTTGGATTGTGAGTGGTTTAATGTGTTGTTTAGGTTCTGCAAAACCTACAGGCATGTTTGGGATTCTTTTATTTTTTTTCCTTTCTAAGACTTTCGCTTTATGCCTATAATGACTTTTTCATCAAAATCTATTCATGGAATCAGTCATTGCACTGTAAAACTGAACCAGTATATCAACTGTAATGTATAGAGTTATTGTGTCCACATCTAACTCATTTGGGATTAGATTCTGATTTTAAAGTTTATCTTGATCTGTTTAAATCTTGATACCTTGCAAACATAATAATTTTGTGGTGAAATATATCTCCGATTTGAAGCTAAATCCTTTGAAAATGAAATAATTTGGGCAATTTACCTAGCATTGAATAAGGTTGTGCGTGTAATACTGTTGGTGTTGTAATTCTATAATGAGGTGCTCCGATTTATGTTTGTTCTATTTCTCTGAAGGTTTGAATATTGTCATGAAAAGTTACGGAAACAAAGTGGGACAATTCCGTGGAACATCCAGTTACTTCTTTGTTGATTTGGTAATCATTCTCTGTTTGCTTTAGTCTTTTTTCTTGATCTTTTCATTTGTTTGACAAAGTACATTGTTTTATATTATCTCATTAAGTTATCAGGATTCTATGGAAGATCAGTGGAGGCCCATAGGATTGGAATTGTAGGATCAAATCGAGGAGAGTAAGATTCTATAAAACTAGTACAAAATTAACTTAAACTAACTCTTAAAGTTATTTTTCAAAATAAATAGAGGGTAAGAATCAATTTTCAATATTATCAACATGCTAGCAAATCTCAATGAGCATTAAAAGATACTAAGAGAGTAAGCCACATGACAAACACTTGAAACCAATTTTTTTATTTCCTCCATACAAGAATTTCAACATAACTGTGAAGCAGAATTTCACAGAAGCAATTAAACAAAGCCTAAACTATTTAAGAAGAACAATTTAGTTACCTATTTATCTAAGCAATTTTGTTGGAAAGACAATTTTTTGGTTAAGAACAAGAGTGAGTGTGTGTCTGATAGAGAGAGAGAGAGAGAATAAAAAACAAAGAGCCTGTAAAAGACTATTCTCTAAAGAGAGACCTTTAACTAGTTTTTGTGAAATTGTTAACCAAACAAGCTTTTGTACTGATTTATGATTTTCAGTTATATGAAAACAGAATACTCTATTCTCAGAAAACTAAACCAAACAAACCCAATGCTCTATTTTCTTCGTTTCTTTTTCTTTTTCTTTTTCTTTTTATTTTATATTTTTGAAATAGGCAAATAATAGGTGGGGCACCTGAGCTATCTCTTTTTTTTTTTTTGTTTTGAAAAAGAAAGAAAAATAGAGCACAATAGAGGAAAGTTTTGAAGTTTTGGGTCATACCTTTGAAGTTCAAGTTTGATTGAACCTACCATTGAAGTTAGGTCTTTGCTTTTTGTTCCTTTTTAAATGCAATTAGGCTAAAGTGTTGGACTGTATACTTAAAAACCTTAAATTTATTTGCAAGAATGGGTTGTTAGCTCAAATAAATATAGAAAAAGAAGAAAACAATGTACAAAATTTAACAGGAACAGTAGGATTGCAAGATCCTACACGATTCTACAATTCTAATTCCAATCCTAATGCGATTTGAATCGATTTAGATCGTACAATTTGGATCAATATTTTAACAACCATGATTAATAAACTAATACCTTATGTAAGGGGAAAAAACTCCACAATTTCAAATATTTTACAAGTCATAGATGATAGACTATACTATTTCATGCATATCTTAGCATAGACAAAATCTGTACCATGTCATACAGTAATTTTTTTTATTATTTTTTTCAAATTGTTGTAATTAAACCACATTGATTAATCTTGCTTTTTTTTTTTTTTGGTTGGATATATTATTCTGCTATTGTTAATGTTTCTATTGACACTAGAAATCACATTGTTATGGTGTGTAAATTGATCCATTCAAGTAAGAAAAATGTCCATAAGCATCCAAAATAATATTGAAACAAAATGTCTATGCAATATCGTGAGTGACATTTTGTTATGCTAGGGTTGCTGTGATTTTGGGCCCGAGTTTAGTATCAGGTCGCGTTGACCCATTGAATGAACAAGTAAAATTTTTAACTTATTTTTTGCTTTGCAGGTCATGGACCTTGTTTAGTACTCTATTGTAACCCGATATATAAGGGCGCTTAGGGTTTGGAGTGGACATTGAAAATCGCAGAGAAAGGGAGTGAGAGCAAGAGCTAGGGTTTGGGGCTGGAACTTGTAATTTCTTATTTTTTGTATAGTGATAACTTTTGCCAGATCTCCACCGTGGATGTAGGCTTTGCCGAACCACGCTAAAACTGTGTTCTTTGTGTGGCGTGTTTACCTTTTTGTCGTGTTTCTTGATTTTTTCCTAGTGTTGTGTTTATCGTAACAAACTGGTATTAGAGCTTTCGGTTCAAATTAGGGATGACATCGAGAATTGAGAAGTTTAACGGCAGAAATGATTTCAACTTGTGGTGGTCAGGATGCAGGCTCTGTTGGTTTAACATGGGTTATCCAAGCGCTAAAGGGAAAGGATGCACTGGCAGAAAAGATTAAAGACAAAGATAAGGTTATAGGGAAAGCCCACAATACAATTATGTTGTGCTTGAGAAATGAGGTTTTGCGAGAAGTTGTTGGAGAGACTATGCCGGATGGGCTATGGAGCAAGTTGGAGCCTCGGTATATAACAAAATCTCTTGCGAACTGCTTGTATCTAAATAAGTGGTTGTTTACTCTTAGATGCAAGAAAGTTCGTCACTAAAAGACCATCTTGACGAGGTAAACAATACCATAATGGACTTGAATAATATTGATGTCAAAGACAGTGGATGAGGATCAAGCTATTATTCTGTTGTGTTCTCTACCACCCTCGTATGAGAACTTTGTCGATACGATGATGTATGGCATAACTGCTTTGTTTATAGAAGACGTAAAGGCAACTTTGAATTCCAAAGAGTTGTAGAGGAGGACGTTTGAAGGTAATATAGAAAGTTAGGCAAATGGATTGGTTGTTAGAGGGAAAAAGAATCAGAGGAATGGTCCGGCAGGAGAAATCATTCCAAGTGTAAGAACAAAACGAAGGTGCTGAGATGCTACATCTGTCACAAGGAAAGACACTTCAGGAAAAACTGTCCGTAACATAAGAAGGGAAAGGGAAAATCCTCTAAAGTTGATAGTGTGGTTGTTATGGAGGGTAATGATTCAGATGGTGATAACATTCTCACGATTTCAGTTGGCAGTGCTCTTTTATAGGTTCATTGATGGAGGGAAGTTCTAATGGGCATTGATGCATCATGCAAGGTTGTAGGTATTGGTACAGTTCGAATGATGATGTATGATGGCATAGTGAGGACATTTACTGATATCAGTACGAGAAGAAGACTGAACTTTTGGAATGGTTAACGGAAAGGTTGGAGAGATGTAATTTCTATACAACTTACAGAAAGAAACTTAAAATGTTAGAGAGGGTGTAACTTAAATATTTAAATAACATTCCCCCTCACGTGTGGCCTTCTTTTGGTCCAACACATGTTATTCAATTTTTAAATAGGTTGACGGTAAGGTTTGAACTCGAGACCTTTGGCTCTGAAACCACAGTAACTACCATCTACTCTAAAAGCTTAAGCTGTTAGAGATGGTGTAACTTAAATATTTAAATTCTTCAACAAAGATACTTGATAGTAGGGCTGTGACCTTTCATGAGTCTGCGATTCCTACTCCGCAGAGAGAGGTAGATGATTCAGGTAGAGCTCAAGTTGTCAGTAAGTAGGTGGAGCATGTAGAGGTTCAATTAAAGGATGGTCCTAATCGGTCAACTAATGAGTAGGTGCAGCTTCGGACTATAAGAGATGCACAATTGCAGCAGTTTAGTGTAGCTAGAGACAGGCCTAGGAGGGGGACTATGCCACTTTAGAGGTATCGATTTTCACATGTTGATTCGATCGCTTATGCACTTAGTGTGGCAGAGGATATTGATGAACAGGTATCGTGTACTTATCATAAGTTCATCACAAGTGGAGAGTCAGTATAATGGTTTATTGCCATAAGTGAGGAGATTGAATCTCTTCATAAGAACCAGACTTGAGAGGTAGCTAAAAAGGCTAAGGGTAGAAGATTATGGGTTGTAATTGGATCTTCAAGAAGAAGGAAGGAACTTCAAGAGTGGAAGATGCGAGGTTCAAGTTATGCTTGTTGACAAAGGGCTATACACAAGGGAAGGGGTGGACTTCAATAAAGTGTCTTTTCTTGTGGTGAAACATAGCTTAATCGGTGTTACTTACTATGGTTGCTCTATATGACTTGGACCTTAAGTAGCTGTCAAGACTGTTTTCTTGCATGTTGAGTTGGAAAAGCATATTTATATATGCATCAGCTTGAGGGGTTTGAGATTCTTCAAAAGGAAGATCATGTTTGCCTACTGAAGAAGTCCTTGTATGTAGGGCAATAAATGAGCCGAGCCGAGCCGAGCCGAGCTTAAAGGTGTTTGGGCTTGGCTCGACTTATTTCAGGAGGAGTTTGAACTCGACTCGAGCTTGATTGAGCCGAGCTCAATGTTGATCGAGTTCGGCTCGGCATAATTTAGCCAAGCTCGAGCTCGGCTTGACAAGCTCATTTACGAGCCATCAATATAGACAAACACAAATCTTCAAAAATATATATACACACACATTATATATATATATATACGCATACACAATTAGGATATATATATATATAGATGCGTATAATAACTAGGCTAATATGAGAGCAGAGGGAGAAAAAACGATGAGAGTGAAATTTTAAAACACAAAGAAAAATGTAAAACTAATCAGTAACTGACTTGAAAATCTATTATAAGGAGTTTTATCAGCGTTTTAGTCGTCATCGCCTTTGACTACTCATAGTGGTTACTATATTTGTGTTTCGATATCGTCATCGCCACAACGCCGCTGACCTGATTTGCTTGGATTGTCCATGTTGTGAGATTTGTGTGAATGAGGAAGTGAGGAAGAGATAGATATTAAGGTTACCAATTTGCAAATGGACGATGGGCCCTTAATTGGATGGGTTGTACCTGTTTCAATTTAAAAAGGACAAAAATATATGAACCTAGTTGAGTTGGACCAGTTTTGGGCTGGTTTAAAATTATGGATTGAAATGAAACTAAATGTTCTTTGGAAAATTTTATTAGGCTTGAACTCATAATTATAATTTAAACATATATATATTAATGTATATATATTATTACATATGCTCGTGAACACGTTTCCGAACTTTGTTCACGAACAAACGAGCCGAGTATAAGGTTGTTTGAGATTAGTTTGTTTATTAATCAAGGTTGAAAATTCTGTTTGAAATTGGTTCATTTATTAAACAAATGAACACAATCTGAGCCTTTAACGGACCGAGCTTAAGTTGTTCGTCAGAACATTTGGTTCATTTACAGCCCTACTTGTATAGGCTGAAGCAATCTCCTAGATAGTGGTACAGGTGATTTGACACCTTTATGGTTGGGAGTGGCTAATGTAGGAGTGAATTTGACTGTTATGTTTATCACAGGAGGCCTTCAAATGGTTTGTTGTGTTTGTCGTAACAGTTGCTATACTGAAGTTTCTGCGCCACAATACTGGGTTAGGATATATGTTATGGGCATTGTGGAGATGTGTAATTTTTTTTTTTTTTTGGAACTCAGAACTTCCCTAGGCAGGGGGCCTTTGGACCCACCCTAGGCTACAAACTAAGGGTGCAATGCCTAACCCCATAGGATGCACCATGTAATCCGGGGGTGATAAAGGGGGGCTGACAAGGCTCGAACATTGGACGAAGTAACGCCCATGCTCTCACCTTACCAACTCATCCAAGCCCCCAGGGGCGAGATGTGAAATTTAATTTCAATAATGATTAATTTAGTTGCTTTAAGAAGGGAGAACAGGTCTATCGAGCATCATGATTATTATTACTTTATTTTTTTGGAAACGATACTCTTTCAAATAGAATTATAAGTTATTCAGATGAAGGGGCTTGTTGAAACACTATCCTTTCTCCTTGCACATGCTTTTAGATATATTGAAGCAAATTTGTAAAGATATGTGGAGTAATCTATTTAAAGGAGGAGAAAACTTATGCAACCCTATGTAAGAAAGAAATGAATTGGTACTATAATTTTGTCTTGAATATTTGGTCTGCTGTACTTTATTTCACATTTCTTGAAAAATGTGCTCTTTTATAAATAAATAAAAAATACTAAGTTTGTTAGATATATTTTCATAAATAAAAGTAATTTATCACAAAGCTTTCTTTTGTTTGCCACGAAGATGGGAGGTGATCAAGATAAGAAAGATTAAGATATACAAATATTAAGCTATGAACAATTTTAACAAATTTGTGTCTGAATTCAAGCTTAATGTGCTTGTATTGCTTGAAACAAGGGTCAACCAAAACAATGTTGATGCAATCCATATGGTAATTGCTCTCACTAATGGTCACTATCTGTGATGTTTCCAAATTTTACCATTTTCCAATTTCTGGAATTTTCTAATTTTTCGAGGGCATTTTCATCTTTTCTCATTTTGTGTGCCGGACATCGTGGGATGTGATGGGTGTGTCCGAGAGCTGGTTGGGGTATTTCATTGAGTTTAGCACTCTTTGAAATGCAAGGGTTGCCATTTCGGTATTTTTCCGTTTTTCAGGCCGGACGGTCCCTGGTGGGACCCGCTGCCGGGACTATTGTGTACGTGAGTTTTGTTTGGGTCCAGTTGTACCTCATTTATTTTATTTTATGTATGTTATGTGGTTGAAAATTTTCATGTGTATATATATATATATATATATATATATATATATATATATATATATAATTATGGTGTAAAAATAAAGAATAAAAAGAATTTTTTTTTAAATTAAAAAGTGGTAGGACCCACCACTTTACATATATGTGGCAAGGAGACCACATTTGGGTCTCACAATTCTCTCTTCTCTCGGCTTCCTCTCTCTTCTCCTCTCTTTTTCTTTTTTTCTTTTTCTTTTCTTCTTAAATTTCAAACTACGATTACTCCCTCAATTTTGTGAGTTTTTGAGTGCCGTTTGTGGCAAATTAAAGAGCGTGCCGAGATCTACGATTTGATCAGAGCAATTCTTCATTTGGTGCACTTGGAAATTTCAAAATTTAGGGTTTGGATTGGGCTCAATTTGGGGGTTTTGCTTCCTTTTGAGGTAGGGGTCTCTGATACACACATTCTTTGATTTTTGTGAATTTTCTCCTTAATAATTGGGCTATAGCATGTTTAATTTCATGGAAATTGTTTATGCTTATATGAGTCTTGTGTATTTAATATGATAATTGTATATCATGTGATAATTGACCATATGTATATTGTCTATTTGAATTGTATGAGATGGCATGCTAAAGTTGAATTTATATGCTTAAATTTCATGTGTAACTACATAACTCTGTGTTATTAAATGTATGTGACTATGTTGTTGATTATCGTGTTATGAAAAAACATTTTTTAAGTGATTTTGTTCCATGCCTTGTGTATTTAAATTACCGTAATTATAATGTGAAAGCATGGTACATGTATTACACAAATTTCTCTTAAATATGATATATGGTTTAAATGTGAATATGTGAAGAATTAAGGCATGGAAAGGCATGATGCATTCATGCATGACATTGGGCATGAAAAGGGAAAAAAATTTGAGTTGAAATGGAAAAAAAATTGTTTTTGAAAGAAATAAAAGAAAATATTTTGGGAAAGGTTTTGATGGAAAGTTTTGCGAAAAACCTGGTCGCCTAGGAGATTGCCTATGGGTCCGTGGCGTTGATGTGATCTAGAGAGAACTAGGGAGACTGCCCTAGCGTGGTTGAGTTAACTAGCCCCAAATGATGCCCTGGAGCTTGCCTTGTGGTCAGGGACAGTTAGCCAATCCTTCTCTCGTGCCGCCACGGAGTTGCCATGGGACGGGTTGCATTAACAGTTTGGAAATGATGGCAAAAATGGTTTTGGTAAAATAGGGAGTGACATTGCATAGCATTGCATCTCATTGCACTGCATAATTTAATTATGACTTAGATTGTCGAATTTGTTGCTATGTTTACCCCGGTATGGTATGATCCCGCTTCTTTATTTTTCTATTCATTGTGTGGATTCACGGGGTCATAAGAGGTGTCTCTTAGGTACCACCTACTGAGAAATTTGCTGACCCCTTATATTTAATATTTTTCAGGACATGGAAGGGAAGTGGCGGACGACGCTCCTCCACAGGGTTCGATGGGTTAGTAGACCGTTTTGACATACTTTGTAACTATGATCTCATTTTATTTATTATTATTATTATTATTATTATTTTATAAACCCTGCGATGATACGTATATTATGTATTCACATAGGAAATGACGGTAGTGCCCTTAGTTGACCTCGAGTTCAGGTAAGGACCTGGTTAACGATTCAGACCCTCGGGTTCGAGTTGTTACACTATCACACAGTTATACACTCTCTCAATTAGGCAGGATTTGTATTTTGTGGAGTCCTGATAGTATCTCCATTAGTATCAAGTAATCATCCAAACTAGTCATACATTGCCATTCATCATTGATGGGAAGTGATACCTCCTTCCATCTGTCTTTTGTCTATGTATCTAACTTTATTGTTGAAAGAAGGGAACTTTGGTCCATTTTAACTCTATAAGCTCCATCTGTCCACTCTAGTCCTCTTGGGGGACTTCAATGCAATTTCACATGTAAGTGAAAACTTTAGTGGAGCTAGCAGATGATCTCCAGCTATTGAGGACTTAGGAGAAGGCCTACAACTCTCAGGACTGAAAGATTTGAGATTTTCTGGGATTTACCATATATCTAAGAAGCACAGACACGGATATGGGACACGGACATGACACAACACGGACACGGCGACACGGCGACACGGCAAATCCAAAAACATTAGGACACAGACATAGCGGGGACATGGCAAATAGTATATATATATTATATTTATATGATGTAGTACTTTAAAATTACTGAGTGTAACTATTTTTCATTAACCTCATAATGAAAAAAATACACAAATCATAACTCATTTACTGTAATAGTGTAATGACTGGCCCTTAAATTTCTATTTGTCTTGTCTAAAATTGCATATTAACCTTACAAGTTTAAAATTATTATGTACTGACTACTTAAGTGAGTAAAAGTTGTTAAATAACTTTACATATTTAAACTTTAACCCAACTTTCTTTCAAAAAATTTTTAGACCCCCAAAAATAAGACACGTGTGTCGGACACACACCCCTGGCGTGTCTGACACGGATTCTTCGCCCATTTTGGTGTGTCCTTGCTTCCTAGCCATACATGGAACAATAAAGTGAAGGAATTTCCAATATAACAATGAAGATTAACAGAACACTCATCAATTACCAATGGAACTCTACTTTCCCCATGTCTGAGTGTTAGTTTCTCCCACCGGGGATCTCTGACCACAATCACATCTTCCTCAAGCTTATCAAGCCAGCTACAAGGAAAATGATTCCTCTCATATTTTTCTACCATTGAGCCTCTCATCCTCACTTCCTATCAACCATTTCAAATACATGGAGACTGTTTGTCCAAGGAACCTCCATGTTTCAAGTGGTCAAGAAACTGAAGATGCTCAAACAACCCCTTAAGGAGCTACAGAAACTTAATTCCTCAGCTGTCTCTGACCTCTTAACAAGAATCTCTGCAATAAAACAGAATTTGCACTCTTGTCAAGAGAGCCTTGATTTGAATTCTATGTGTTCAATATCACTGAGAAGCGTGGAAAGAGAACTAGTGTCACAATACCTCTCCCTATGCTCAGCAAAGCAGGTTAGGGACAGTAACAATTCTTTATTCTTCAGATCCATTTATTGAAGTGAACAAATCAAAATTGAGGTTAGTGAGAACCCACCTCATTTCCTAGGTAGAAACTCCATTTCCCCATTCATCCAAAACTCAGTCCCATTCCAATTCCTCTACTCTCTCTCATCTATTCCTTCAAACAAAGAGATAAAGCTTTGCCTTTTTGGTCTTGACAATGACAAGGCTTTAGGCACTATTGGATACAATGCCTATTTCTTGAAAATAAAAAATAAAAAATAAGTTTGGCTTGTCAGTGGTTTTGATGTCACTAAGTCAATTAGGGATTATTTTTTTTTCTAGTGGGAAGCTACTAAAAAAGGTCAACGACACTTGCATTGCTTTAGTTCCTAAGGCACCAAACCCTTCAAACCTAAATTACTCTAGACCTATAAATGCATATACTTCTTGCTAACAACCTCATGTGTAACAGGTTGGGTGCTTCGCATTCCGGCCCAAAAGCTTAAGCTATAAGGTAGGGCTAACACCCAACCCATTTATACCCATTACACTTTCTATCCGGATCGAATGTGGGACAAGTCCTTGTTTTAACATTCTCCCCCACCCAAACTCGTAACGCCCTCGTTGCGGTCAGGCCACCCTGCCTATCCCGGATCAATGACTGAGTTTGGCTTTAATACCAACTATAATGGGTCATGTGCTTCGCGTTCTGACCCAAAAGCTTAAGCTATTAAGTGGGGCTAACACCCAACCCATTTATACCCATTACACTTCCCATCTGGATCTGATGAGGGACAAGTCCTCCTTTCATCTCATGGGGATAGGTGAAAACCACATTTGGACTATATGAATTCATACATTTTCAATCTAGATTTGATGAGAGTCAAGTCAATTTTCTTAACAAAATAAGGAATGGTGTTCGATTTCCAGTGAAACAAGGCCTATCTATTTATTGCTGTTGAATAGTGGGATTATCTTGGTCGCTGTTTTTATGAGCATTCAATTAGAATCTTTAGCAGTTTATTATTGTTTTTCTAAATGTAATATTTCACTTATAAATGCTATAAAGAATGCTAGATTTCCTAAGAACATATTACATGGCGGCAAAATAGGATTACTTCCAATAACATAATAATTTGAATGATCAATTCTTTGGAGCTATTATTAAATATGTTATAAGAGAATTATTGTTAAATTGGAATTACATCTATGAGACGGTACATTTAGAACCTGACTAGTTAAATTTAAGATAAATGAGATGATTTGAGTGAAATTTAGTTTATTGAAACACTTCAAGGAATGATTTACCTTCTAAGAGCTCTATCCCTTCCCATGCAAAAATACGGTTTGCCCTTTTAATGCAATAAAACCATTTTTCATGCAAAAATAATCTTATGGACAACTAAATTAGGTTAAAAATAAATGAAACACTTACATGAGAACATGAAAATTAATTGTGATGCAACCAGACCGAACCACGCAAAATTTTTTCCTCACTTGAGTTCAATTAAAAATCCTAAGTTTGAGTGATCAACAAAGTTATCCAAAATACTTTTTACCCTTGGCATCTTCATCATTGTTGATCAACTTCAGAAGTCATCTCAAATGGATCAAGAGGTGATCAATTCTATCTAAATGACTTAAAATAAATAAAAAGTACAGAATCTGTCTTTTGTTACAAAATTTGCCAACTTACAAAATACCTTTCAGTAAGGTTATGTCTTTCCCTAAAATGATGTCTTTTAAATTTTAAATACCAATGTAAATAAAACTTTTCAGGAAGGTTTTGTCCTTTATAGAAAGACACCTTTTAATTTTAATTATTATTATTATTATTATTATTATTATTTTGACAAGTCAAGACACTTTTTTAAATTTAAACACCAACTTATATATAATGTATATATAATTAATTTGAAAACATATTTTTATATATCTCCAACAGAGGTAAGCACTCACCCTTTCAAATGCTGTGCTGGTGGTTAACCACAAAAGCCCAAAGATGTGTAGTGATTCCAGCTCTGTTAGACGCCTCCAGATTGGGAAAGCTTAAACCACCTTCTGATTTTGGCTTGCAAACATCACTCCAAGCAACCTTAGCCCCAGACTTCTTCATCTCTACGCCTGATCAAAGAAAATTTCTAAAGATGCCATTAATTTCTCTTAGACCAGATTTGGGAAGCATGAAAATACATGACCAAAAGGGTTATATTCTGACTATGATAGATTTAACTAGATGAAGACAGCCAACATTGGTTACTCTTGCTAGTTCAATGGCCTATTTTATGAGTAATTCTTTCCATAAGGGATTAGAATCAGTGGTCTTCAACCTAGTGGAGATATGGAGAATTCCCAAATGCCTAATATGAAGGTTCCCTCTCTTAAAACTAGGAAGATTAAGGATATTGAGCTTGGTGGAGTGATATCGGACAGATAGTGCTCTAATACCAAACTAATGTAGGACAAAAAGAAAGAACGGGATGAGAAGACAGAAGATGAGATGATGCTAAAAGAAGGAGATGAGAAGAAAGATGAAGGGATAGAAAAGATAGGCTAATGCTCCATTTGGTTGAAGTGATGGAAAAATAAACGAAAGAGAGGGGGAGGGATGGATAAGGCATCCCTTAGGAAGGGAAGGTGTCTCCCTTACTTTTTGTTTGGTTGAATAAAAGGGATACTAGAAATAATGGATGGGGTGACACCTTTTTTTTTTTTTTTTTTGTTTTGGTTTGGTTGGAAGGAAAAGAAGGAGAGTTTTTATTTCTTTTTAGCAATATATCCTCACTACATAAAATCTATATCTACACTATTATAAAGGTTTTTTTTTTTATTTTCAAACATTTTTCATATTTTGTAAAATACAAAAAGAGAGCTTTTCCCTTTTCTTTGAAGGTTATAAATATTTTGGCATGAATGTTAATTGTGTGTTAGTGGGATTTTTTATTTGTGTAAGTGGGAGACATGTGAGTTAGAACAGATCGAAGACCGTATCGGCGAGACTAATTATCAATTTTTTATGGTAATTCTATGATTTACTGGAATGCCTGTTACGAACTTTGTAGAGATGAATTAGCATTCCAAGTTTTATCTGAAGGCCATTCTACAGTAATGAACTTCAACTTTCTTTTGATGTACCTAAAAGCAAAAAAAGGAATGATGTTTCTATCATTGTGTTGTTTCTTTGCCTTTTTGCTATTAAAGTGTAATACCCCTAATTTTAAAAGGATAGTCTCAGCATTTTAATTTTTATTTTATTGGCTTTTTATTTGTTTAATTGCTATTCTTGTTTGTTTAATTGTTTAATTGCATTTATTAATTGATTTTTGAATTAAATTAATTTAATGGTTCTATGTGCATTGTTAATTTATTTAAATTGTTAATTGTTGTGTGCTATTTTCCGTTAATTGTTAAATTATAGTTCGGTTGTTAAATTAGGGTAAGTTTTGGATTTTTATAATTAGGGTTTCTGTTAGAAGTCCGGTAGGTGGAATGTTATAACATGGATTTTATCCTATGGGCCGATTAGGGTTTAACTTGGATTAGGGTTTCTGTCTTGGATTACCATTAGAATTAGGTTATACTTGTGCCTATATAGATACGGTTATAAGCTGTAGGAAGGGTTGGAAAAACTCTATTCACGTATCAAAGCTACAGAGAGATACAGAGTGAGATTTTGAGAGAATAGAGCACGTTCGGTGTGGGGTTCGACTGAGGCTTCAAGGTCGGACCTAGAAGAAAGGAAGAACAGAAGTAAGAGGAGGATAGGCAGTAGTTTAGTGTTGCCGGAACAGTGGACACGACACCGAGATTTCAAAACTGAAATCACAGGCAAGTTCTTTTCTTCCTCCTTCCCTCTGGCTTATGTTCTATGCACCTAGATAGTCTTTAGGGTTTAATTAATCATTAACTGAGTTTTACATGTATATTAGATGCTATATTGATGATATATATGGAAATCTGTTAAATTATAGTTTGGGCATGTTTGATTTCAGTTGTATTCTTAAAGCATGCTTAGTCTATAGAACTTGTAGTTTTTGTATTTAATTTCAACTGCTGTAAACATACCATGGGGATTATACTAGACACAGTTAGGACCCTTAGGAACAGTTTAAAACCAAATAGACAGGTTGGGAGCGACCGGAGACGAAGCAGAAGGTCGCAGAAGTTGCAGCGGTTGAAGACGGCTCTCAGAGGAGGTGAGAGCCGGCTCCATAGAAGTGGGAGCCGGCTCCCACACATGTAAAGCCGGCTCCAAGGTCCTTGGAGCCGGCTCCAGGCTGATTAGAGCCTGCTCCCAAAGTCTTGGAGCAGGCTCTTTTCAATAGTAAGCATTCTGATATTTTTTTACGAGTTATGGTTACTGTTGGAGCATGGGAACTGTTCTGAAAATTTTGGGACTTCACAAAGGGATTAAATGGTTTATTTTGGGTGTTATTAAGACCTTAGATTGATCAAGGTTGGCCTCTGAGTCAGTGGGACAAACGATATTAAATTAATAAACTTTCTATACGGTTAACGGATGAAAGACGGATTAATTGCTTAACTAAATTTTAGCAATTTAATGGGATTTAGGATGTTTATAAAACTCATTTTAAAATGCATGATAGGGCCATCTATGTATTTGTTTTGATCTATACATGCTTTGGGATGCTAATTGCCGAAATATTAAACCTTTTCTGCAATTACTTGGATTACTGTTGGATTGCAATTGCTAGAATAATGAAACGTTTTCTGCAACTACTTAGATAATGGTTTGGACTGTAAATTACTAAATTATGATTTATATATTGTAATTTACATGGATATGGAGGATTGTATGCACCGGTATGAGACGGTGGCATACTAGGGACGGTTTAGCTTCAAAACGCTAAGACCTAACCTATCGGATTAATGGAATGGATTGTAAACTATTGAATCCTAAATTGAGTGACTTCCTGGTTTAGTTGGTTGTAATTAAGTCATATCAGCTGAATAAGTTGAATGACTAACTGGACTGTGTTTCGTATGTCACCTCAATGAACAATTGAATGACATACTCTGGATTTGGACGGACTTTAGATATATGATTATGGTACCACGAGATGAGCTTGAGTCTCAGGCTCGTTGGTTAGGGTGCGTATATGCAGTGGATGCGTAGTTGGATATAGTAGGTTGAGGTGTACCCTGTTAGGTCTAGGTACTTATGCCCACCTTTGGGTGCGTTTTCGCACGTTGCCTTCTATTCAGGTTGAGACCCCTATTATAGTCCAGTGAATGTCCCTTAGTGTGGATATATATATATGTATGGACTAAATAGATATTGTGAGGTATCTAGGGTGTATCTGCGTATCGGGTCACTGCATGGATTGCAGTTAGATTAGAACTTGTTCGTGGGCTAACCCACTCTTTTATTCTTTTCATGTACAGGACGGTTCCAACCTTAGAGCTTGATCGTGCTATTCGAGGACAATTCCTCATTCGTCAGATTATGTAGGACTTCACTCGATGTTTCTGTTTTATTTACTTTCAGTTATTTTAGTTCAGTTGGGATTTTATTTAGGGGTCCACTAGATGGATTCCCGAGTTGTACTCTTGGAAGTTTTGGATGTTTGGATTCACTTTATTCATTACCATTTGGAGGATTTGATAATGGATATTTCTGTTAGCTTTATTCTATTTCTTATTTCATTTAATATTCTGTGTTCGCTTTAAAATACTTTAATTGTTTGATATTTCCCTCGGGTTTGGGCCTGGGCTTGATCAACCCGTGTCTCGGATCCAAGGGGTATCACATAAAGGGCATGCCCAAACTAGTTCTTTGGCTTCTCTTATTGTCTGTCTTCTGTGATCTATTATAAGTGATCACTTCTCCTTGTACTTTATTGCATCATTTATTTTTATAAATTTCCAACAGTTAAGGAAAAAATGAATGAAGAACTATAGTGAATTGTGTGTAAATATATGACATTACCTTTTTGTCAACGATGGTGGTGCCAGGATACTTAAAGCACCCCATAATCGACCACCGGATACGTGCAGTCCCCGTTCCACGTGCACTCAATAATTATCGGGAAAATTCTCTAGTGGTGGCCTCAATGGGATTCAAACTCCTGAACTTCATGTGGGATGGGAACTGCCTGATGGTGGATTTTGAGGTGCTCTAAGAGGCCTAATACTGCCATCATCGACAAAAAATAAATAATAAATAAATAACTATTGTACTTTTTGCTAAACCTTCTCTTTGAATTGGTGTTACAGAAAGGGATTGCCTATATGGAGTGAACAAGTGAGAATTTGCTCTGAGAATGGACTTGAAGGTCCTAATGATGATGGGTACAGTTGGAGAAAGTATGGGCAAAAATACATTCTAGGTGCCAATTATCCCAGGTGAGAAGTCTGTTCTCTTATCCTGCATGAAAGTCACAAGCACCACTCATTCAACCATCCAATCATTTGCTCTCTCTCTCTCTCTCTCTCTCTCTATATATATATATATATATATATATATATTACACATGATTATACACACACACACACATATATATGGTCCTACACAAACATGTATGCACTTCCTTCCATATGATTCAAACTACTAACTCCATCCTTGTTTCAAATGTCCTGCTTAGATTGCCTGATACAAAAGCTTTATAATATATACATCATAGTACTTAACAAAGCAACTAAAAGGAGACACATTTTTGTTTGTCATCAATTGTCATAGCATTAAAGTGTGATTACTAAATGTCATGTTAGTGGGAGTAATTAGGCATTTATATGACCAATGGGCCAGTGGCGTAGCGGTATCAGTCTCTTACTTCCCAAAGGGAGATCAGGGGTTCAAGTCTCAGAAGAGACAAGTGTGTGTGAGTACCAACTAAGAAAAAAAAAATAGGCATTTATATATAATTGGTTACATATTGAATGAAATATAAAAAAGAACATGTATTGATCAAACTTCAAAGTAAGACTAATTTTTGCGAGAATGTTGGAATGGCCATGGCCATTGGCAAGGAAGATATTTTTGTAGTCGTCAGTGCGTTTCAAAATAAGTGAGATTTTTGCGAGAATGTTGGAATGGTCATTGGCAAGGAAATTTTTTTTGTAGTTGTAAACTACAAATAATAATAATAATAATAATGGGTACCAGTGATACCAATAGGCCGGTGGCCTAGCGGTATTAGACCCCTACTTTTCAAAGGGAGGTCAGGGGTTCGAGCCTTAGTAGAGGCATGTGTGTGTGAGTACCAGCTAAGGGAAAAAAAAAGTGTTTCAGAGATAGAACCTTAATTTAGCCATCGATATGGCTATCTCCAGTTGTGTTTTGAAATTCTAGGTAAATAAGGTGACTAGTAAGCGATTTAACAATAAATAAATGGATAATAAGTACTAAAATGTTTGCACTCTTTATATTGCATGACATGTCTTTTCGAAAAAGAAAAAAAAAATATGTGTTGCACATGATAGAATGTTATTATATTGTTCCTAGGCAATTGAGAAATATTAGCGGTGATGGAAGCAATGGTTTTTTGAGCAAATATAACTTGGTAGCAAAATTAACTATCTTATTGAATTTCTTTCTTTGTTTTCCTTTCTTTTCTTTTTTTTCTTTCTTTTTTTGTTGTTTTTCATTTGGCGCACAAAGTTTTCATTATGCGCAATTGCATGTACAATTTTGCTAGTTATAAAAAACATGTGTTTTTTTTTTTTTGGAAAGGTCAAAATTGTATTTTATATATTTAGATAATTATATATTCACTCTTTCTCTCCTTTCTTACTCCTTTTCTTTGTTGGGTTGTGGCTCAAATTCTTGTTAAGAATGTATTCTGAAAAAGTGCAACTAGTTGCACTAGCCTAATAAGTGCAGGAGACAGTTTCCTTTTCCGTTTTGGAAGGTTGAAGACTTGTGGAGCAAGGCTGAAACTTGTTGAGGAAGTTGTATCTCATTAGGTTTCTATTTTAGAGTTGGAAATTGTTTTGGTAATTCCTTGGTAGGCAAGTTGTGGTAATTCTTGATAGGTTCAGACTAGTAATAGCTAGATTTGCTTCTCTCAAGCTAAGAAACGCTACTGAATTGAGTAAGATTGGCAATGTAGAAGCTATGCAACAACTCTTCATACAAGGATGTCATACGCAAGAGGTCAATCATGGTTTCTACTGCAACAATGAGTGGATTTGTCTGTTACAACTCTTGAAAGGTTCAGACTAGTAATAGCTATATTGACTGTGCAAGATGTTGGTGTTTTGTATTGTTCTATGCCATGGAAGTCTTCTTCCCTTTGGTTTCTTTGTTGTTGTACATATTTCTTATTTATAAAGCGTACCCTGTTAACCAAAAAAAAAAAAAAGTTGTGGTAATTCTTGTCCAACAATGAATGTGTTGAAGACTATAAATAGAGGTGGAGTTGGCTGAAGAAGAGATAGAGAGAGAGAGAAGATGTAGGGCTGAAAGGGTGAGTGTTGTGAGGAGAAGAGAGGAGAGGAGTGAGTGTATATAATTCTTGGGAATGTAGCCTGAGAAGAAAAGTTTGAAGAAAAGAGTGAAAGAGTGTGGGGTTTTGACATATGTGGTTGTATATATTCTCTTCCTTGATACATAATAGTGAAGTCTTAGAACAGGTTATTCAAAAGGATCCCCCATTCTTCCATTAGATATTCTTCTTTTTCATGGATACTCGGGTTCAAATACCCATGGATTCGTTGTTTGCTTACTGGCTTCATATAATTCAGAAAATACTAGTTTTCTTGAAGCTTCTTGCTCATATCTATCATCAAAAGGCACTATTCGATAATGTTTGTCTAGCAGCCCCTGCTAACCCGAGTGAACATTCAAATATCTGCCCTACATTCCTTAGTGAAGGTACTCCTAATGGGTTGAAGGCCATATCAATAGGTCTTCCATCTTGCAAATAAGGCATATCTTGTCTTAGAATTTTTTTTAAAATGATACCTTTATCTCCATGTCTTCCAACTTCTTTATCACCTCTTGTTGGATCCATCTCACATCAATAACTCAACCCCTACTCCCTATAGGTAGTTTTAAACAAGTCTCCTTTGAAGTAGAAACCTAAATGCCAAGTATCTCTCTCCATGGACGTAGCCCTAGTTTGGGTGAACCATGTAAAATATTGTGTTATGCGTAGATGTGTATGATTATTATCTCTATGTATGCTTGTGTTGATTAATGATGTGATGATGATGCTTCTACTGTGCATGATGAAAAAGAGATTTAGTTCTCAACAACAACCAGCCAAGAGCTGGTTGGAGGGAGTTAATATCACTAACATTCTTTCCTTCCTTCCAACCCAAGATGAGAAGGCTCATTCACCCCTCCTCTCTTCCATCCTTCCTCAATCACGATAATATTCCAATAATCAAAGCTGAATTGTTTGATTATATATGAGCCTTTACATAGTCATAACATTGAGCAAACCCTAATAAATTGTAAAACATGAAAAATACCAAAATAATTATAAAACTTTAAAATGTCAAATTAATAAAAATAAACAAAAAATAACCCTAATTACGTCAAATCCCTAATTATATTTATCTTTTTTCCATCTCCAATAGTAGTAGGGTCATGTCCTCATGAGGCTCTTGGGTCATGTCCCGTTCTCCATCATGGAGGGATCAATGCCTAAGAAGAGGACTGAACTTTTGGAATGGTCAACGGAAAGGCCGGAGAGGGAAGAAAAAGGATAAAGATCATCTCCAATTTTATCTTGAAGTGAGATACTTTAGTAATTTCTATATAACTTACGGAAAGTTAATTTATGAAATATAATTAAATGAACTAACTGATTGCAACAGTCCAACATTTGCTAATATTTTGCAGAAGTTTTATAAATCATATAGTGCCATGAATAAGAACAATGTAAACGGACAAACAAACGATGTAGTTAAGCAAAAGCCCTCCAATGTTTTTGTTTGATAAATTTTTCGGTGTCTAGAGTACATGAAGCATTATTTTGAACTAGAATCATATCCAAATAAGGTTCCATTACTTCATTTCATTTCTTTTTGAAATGCATATATATCTGTCAAAGTATCTCTGTTCCTAAAGTGCTCCTAACTGCACTTGCCATTACGTGAGAATGGTGCTATGAAAGCAGTTTAGATGATTCGTGAGGTGATGTGTAAATGAACAGGTCTACTTTCACATTAATGATTTTGAACTCAGAAAATGACCAAGTTAAAATTGTATTTAAGCACCCCATTCCTAAGCAAAGCTTCTATCACTTGGCGTGCTTTCTGGAATAGACTCAATAACCTTGACGGTGACTCAGTTTCCTACCTTCACATCCCCATTGCCTGCTACTTTTGCACATCCCACCTGAGTCCATTAATCATCTCTTCTTCCACTGCCCTTTCACTGAGTTCATTTGGGCACACTTTCAGCACTCAGCATGCTCATATTGCACCCAATTGTTGGTCTGATCTTATTGACTGGTGTGCTGTCCACTGAATCTCACCGAGGAAATCAGATAAGTTTCTCCTCCAAAAACTGATACTTAATGCTACCATTTACTCTATATGAATGGAAAGAAACTCAAGAGCTTTTAGAGGAAAGCTTTAATCTCCCCAAACTCCTATTAGAAGGATCAAGGATATCATCAGGAGCAGAATCAATTCCACTAAGCTCTCAGACAGTTCTATACTGAGAATTATTGATGAAGCATGGGGGCCATAATTCCCCTCTAAGTAGCAGTGCCTTCTATCTGCTGGTGAAGCATAGAATTGAGATGGTTTCTGGACTTGTATGGCAGTGACATTGCTTGACATTGAGTTCATTTCTCTAGTTGTTATCATGTCTATTTTTATCTCCTTTTCCGCATCCTAGCTTAGGCTATGGCGTTATTCTTTGCTTGTGTTATATGTTATAATCTAGCCTAGGCTGTGGGATATGTTTTCCTTGATCAACTTTTGCAGCTGCCTGTTGGGCTACTTGTTTGTGCAGCTTTTCTTTCATTTATTTATTTTTTCTTTTTTTATACAACTTACCAATTACCCAAAAAAAAGAAGTTAAAATTGTATCCAATTTCTTCGTAAAAATTTAGATAATCAATCATGCAAATAAACTCAATAAATTAGTAAGTTAAATAGCAAAAGAAATGAGACAAACCAGATATTTTATTTGGAAAATTCAATAGGAGACAATCAGATATCCAGTTCCATAAAATTCACTACTATGTTGGAGAAGATGTTACAACACGAACTCTGAGTTAGACTTCGTACGGAAGCACTTGCCAAGACTCAATTGCTAAATGCCTCAGACCTAGACCTGGTCTACACTCAGCACACGAGCCCAGTATCTGTCGACACCTCATTGATGCCTGAATATCCCAAGAGCTGTGGCTGATCCATCAATGCAATCATCATACCGGACAATAGGTCTTCTTCTACTCCTAACTTTCGATTTTCAAAAGTAGAGCAGATGATGACTGTGATGGTTGATCAAATTCAAATATCGTTATGGGTCTCCAAGTTCTGAGCTCCCAATCTGAATCATAAATTGAAAATAATTTTTATATATTACTCATAACTATTTGAAAGGTAAGAATAAACAAGAATTATTTATCCCTAAAACTGTTTAATCAGTTTCTCTCACTTCCTATGTATGTCTCTATGTGAGTGTGTCTCCTTTTTTGTTTTGGTTAAACTATATGTATCCTTCTACACTTAGGAATCCTATATTATGTAGAAGTATCAAAATCTTTGGCAAGTGACTCGCATAGATTCACAAAGAACATTTTGAACAACTCATTACAACTTTTATTTTTTTTATTGAATTTGTCAACACAATTGACAATTTTGACCCTAGCAGTATATCCATGGAAATACCTGCTTGAGAAATTTTTTTCCCTGTTTTGCTTAAAGTCTCATTGTTAGCCAGTATGAGAAGCAAATGCTAGACCTAGGCCAACTTCAAGGTTTATAGTGCTGGTTTTTTTGCAGTAGAATTGAGAGCATACTATAATAATTAATAATGAATATCAATCCGAATCACGAGTTATAGAATAGTGGTTGTTGAGTGACGTTGTTGATTAAAGTATCAAGGTCAAATGAGGATTGTATTTAGAGTGCTTGAAGTAGTTAGGCTTTTGGTTTCTATTTTATTTTGGTAGTTATGTTTCATAATACAGTGAGTAGTATTCCAGCCCATGGGCAAGGCTACATGCAACACCTGATAGTTGCTATGGGGGGTATCACCTGTCTAATTGAGGTGAGAGGCCTTTTGCGATCTCACACACCTCCATAGGAGGATGCAGCATGGGTACTGCTAGTGCTATACCATTATGACATCTGAGATATCGTGACCATAATTTGTGTTTGGGAACATAGTTATTTACAAATGATGATGTTGTTCTAATGTTGAAAAGAATTCACCAAATTCCTACATAACTCCACAGATGGCATATGTTACATATTTTTGAAGCTACCACTCTTTATTTAATGTGTCCATTCACACATTAGATTTTTTATTTTATTTTTTCCCTAGTTGGCAATCACACACCCCACCTCCAAGAAATTATTTGCACATAGCGCACACATTATAAATTAAATTGCTGAAAATGTGGCTCTTAGAGCTGAAATGTCAATTTTTTTTTTTAGTTAAAGGTTAAGCTTGTATAAATGAAGAAAAATGTACAAGAGGGACCTATAAGATAGGAAACAACAAGATGCACAACAGCTGCAGAGACCCAGCGAAAAACAAGTGATAGGAATCCAGACCTAGCAAGCAAAATACAAAAAAGGCTACAGACTCAGCCTTCTGCAAGCTCAAGTAAACCTAATGCAATACAAACATAAGAAACAACCATCCAAGCATCAACCAGTAAATACTTCCATTGAAGGCGACCAAGTTTAAGGGACAATTAGAGCCTGAGCACAGGCATAGCTGCATCCATCCAAGAACAGTTTCTGCAAGTCTTCAAGTCTTCTAACATTCCTCAGATCAGAAGCATTCTTTAGCTTAATTGAGGCTAATCTTCCTTTTAAACATTTCTTTATCTGAGAAATGACTGAGGTTGGGGATGAGGATGTGTTCCTGAAGGCCCTATTATTTCTTTCCATCCATAGAAAGTAGACAGCAGCAGAGAGTAGTAACTTATGCACCAGAAAATCATTAGCACTCAATTTAGTTTTAGGTAGGATAACTTTTTCTTAGTGTTGTTTTTTTAATTTGGTCATGGTGTAACATTTTTTAATTTTTTTTTAGGGGTCTCTGCTTGATCCTATGGTAAAAGTTCGTACTCACAAGCATGAGGTTGTGTTTGAGATTAGTCACTTAATGGAATAGAGTGCCAAAGACCAGGTTTTATTTCCAGTCTTCCGCTCTGCAGCCCGCGTAGGCAGGACACAGTGAGTAATTGCACTAAGAGGTGTGTACACCATTACCTTTTTTAATTTATTTTTATTATTATTATTATTATTATTATTATTATTATATATCAGGAAATGGAATTTCGGTTCTTGAACATTAAACCCAAGAAATACAATTCTGTTATGTGCCAAGGAAGCAAGATTTTCTTCTTCTTTTTTGTATTATTTATTTATTTTTTGTTGTCCCATTTATGTATTGAAGAAGCATAGTGGATGCATAGAATTGGACATTGACACTAGTTTTTCCTTTTTGTCTTACACAATTAAATATAGATCACTACTTCAAAGAGTGTGCTTATATAGGGTATGTATTTTCAAATATATATATATATATATATGTAAATTCCATTATTCAACTGATATATTGGGAAGAATCTCTCTTGCAGGCAAGAATCAAGGCGTGCAAATAACTATCAATGGCGACAATGATGACAACAAGAAAGGATCATAACGACGAATCAAATCCCTATTCTATTCACTTCTTCAACAACTCCAATTTTTTTCCTATCCTTACGACATGGGTTGCAAATTAAATATTGGAGGTGTGCAAAACTGTGCGCCGAGTACTTATTTAATTATTCCTCTTCATAATGCTTATGTCTCTATTCACTTCTTCATCAACTCCAAATTTTTTTCCTTTCCCTACAGCATGGGTTGCAAATTAAATTTTGAAGGTAATAAAAATTGTCTGGTATTCCTAGTATAGGTGCAACTCATTATTGAATCAGTCTGAATTATGGAATGATAGAAAATGCTGCCTCATTGCCTTATGCGAAATACTGATGCAATTGCTAATATGACCTAACATTTCTATTATAGAAACATGATTAAGCAGCATCTTCACTGATTCGTTGAGAATTTGATCACTTCGTCCCATTACTCTGTCCATTCGAAGTATTATTTCCCGAGAATTTATCCTAATTTTTGACCAGTAACTATGACACTAACAATCAAACAAATATCTATAGTTAAAAGCTGAATGTAAGTCATCTCTCTACATACAAATTTATATATATCAAGCAATTAACATTATCAGTAATCAGTATAACAAGATTAAAATATGCATTATCTGAAAAAGTTTCTGATTTCTCACATGTGGATTGTTGCAGAGAGACCGTGCTCGAAATTTTCCACACTGGAAACATTGATTCATAGGCTTCGTATCTCGCCAAGGACCCAATCCCAGAATGGTTCTGACTTTGGAATGCCATTGATGTGCCAGCAAATGCTGCTTTCTTGCATCTAAAGGGGGAAAGAAGAAGAAGAAAAAAATAGGCATTTACTAGGTGTTATCTCCATTTTACCTAAACCACCGAAATTTATACATATACATATATATATGTGTGTGCATATGTTTACTGGTATATATATAGCGAAAGAGAGAGAGTACATACCTTTTACTGTGACAATGGTTTGGTGAATATTTTCAAAAGTGGTTGCCATTTGAGCGGACGTTTTATCCTGGTTTTGCGAAGTGGGGAAAGTGACCCAGTACTGGTTTATTGCAATTGGTGGAGGAGTGAATTTGTACTTGAGCGGGAAATTTATAGGGTCAAGCACAAAACTGTACTACCATTACTGGAACGTTATTACTGGTGATTATGCTTTTGGTCCTACACTCTCTTATCAGTCTCTGTTTGATGTTATGTTTTTTTAACTTTTTGAAAACTAGCCGTACCTTTCAAAATTTGAGTTTTTTATTATTATTATTATTATTTTTATATAATTTTTTTTTTTTTTTTCAGTTTTAAATTTGTTTTGGGGGCCAATGGTTGGTGTAGATTAGGGAATGAAATGTCTAGAGTGCAAAATGTGAGAATGTTGGTTCGATTGTTCAAAATGTAAGGATGTTAGTTCGATCGTTCGAATTTGAAAGTTAATCATTTTGTGCATATTAGACGATATGAAACAGACGTTTTATATTCAAATTCAAATTTTATTGGTGGGACCCATATCTATTCTATATAATAAAATATGCTGGATTTGGGTTGGACAACGGGACCCATTTTGATGATATATAGGACCCATCATTTTAATTGATTTGAGGTCGATTTTGGGGTAAAATCTTTTCCATTTCAAAAATTAGTCCAGGAGTAATAATATAGTTGAGTCCAGTCAAAAGTTTTCAACTAAAAAAGATTAGATTAGCTTGTAGTTATTGTCCACTATTATATAGTAATTTCTTAGAATTGACGTAGCCTATAAAACCAAGAGATTGAATATAAGATAAAATTTCTATTCTGCCGTTTTTTTCTTCCTAAATATGTTAAATATGTATATTTATCTCCTAAATTATGTATTTGAGTTTTGGGCAACATAAAACGTACTGTGCATTTGCGTACCTCTCCATTTTTATAGGCTAGAAGTGTTTTTTTCCTTATATTTCATTTTGATATGTTTATTATGTATTGATTTCAATAATTGCCCTGTTAAATTTACTAGAATTTTGAAGGCTGTGAAACTTTTATTTTGTTTAAAACAGTATTTTATAATCAAATATACAAAATCCTCCAACCAACTAAAAGCCTTTGTAGTTCATGTATTACGTTAACGATAAAAACTCTAGGACAGCACATTTGGTCTCTCTCAATTTTATACTCACAGAAATTTCTTTCCTTGTCTTTTTATTTTGAATTGTTAATCATATATTGATTTCAACTGGCCTGTTATGATCTTATAAATTGCTTAATATTTTCTTAAATTCCGAAGGTTTTGAAAACGTTGTGATGCTTTATTTTGTTTAAAACTGCATTATAATTAAATGTACAAAATGCCACAACACTTTCTACTTTCTAGTGTTGAAGAGATGATTCTCTGTCAATTGACATGTTAAATACCTTATTATATTCCCTATTAAATTACACAAGCATTTTTATACATGTATATGCCAAATTGCACTAAACTATCCACTTAACTATATATATATATATATATATATATATATTAATTTTATCAACAAACACATTCAATTTACCAAAAGTTGCAAATTACACGTCCAATTTACCATGATTAGCACTTACGAAATGTCACCCAAGAGGAGGCTATGATGATTAGCACTTAGAAATGACACCCAAGAGGAGGCTATGAGAGGTATGCTCTCGACGTAGAGAGTGAGACAGTGAGAGTCGTCTCATAGTAAACTTGCACCTTGATATGTTGAACATGATGCATGTTATCCGGATGGGAATCAAGATAATTCAAGTGTATAACTGAAGATTCTCAACGTAAAGAGTGAGACGGTGAGAGTCGCCTCATAATAAACTTGAACATTTATCAATCATTGGATCGATATGCTCGAGGAAAAATCTTATCAGGATGGGAATCAAGAAAATTCGAGTGTAACTGGAGGGGTGCGAAGACATAATACTCAAGACACTCGTGATAGACTTGCCCTTTTGCAAAATTCTTGTACTAAAAGAGAGTTTTATAAAACATAAATTATAGGATAAATCTCTACACCACAAACTACAGTATAGAAAGTGTCCTCCAGTAGTTCAAACAGTGTGCAAGAAAATTGTACATAAGTTTTCTTAAATAGGTAAAAAGGATAAAACAGAAGGAAAAGGAAAATGTAGAACAAAATCTGGCCTAAGGTTACACAAGACTTTTTGTTTACTAAACCTACGACATTGCACCGGGCACCTGAAGACTAGTGCAGCACCTGCCAATGAAACCTGCTCAGCATTTTATACACCTTTTGAGAGAACCCCAGCAGCAAAGAGAAGATTTCTTCGAGAGAACTGGCGCAGACAAGGCACACACATTTAACCAACCAGAAATTCTTTTCAGCAATTACAATAAGACAAACAATTAAGCATTTTTTGTGTTTACCTGCAAAGTGTAGACTGGAGTGCACTTGGTAGGTAGAGTCTTCAAGGATCTGAGTCTGTTGGTATTTCCAGTTTTGCTGATAGAAAAGAGTACAGTCCATCAAATATTTTAAAGCAGAGACGGGTATTCATGTCAATTGAAATTTTAGTTTCGGACAAACTTACTTCTCTTCTGTTTTCGGCACCTTTGTGCTAGCAGTCACATCCCACAATTTTACACAGCAATCAGCAGAGCCAGATGCCAGAAGCGATCCTTCACAACTAACATGGTAAACAAGTATGAATGGAAGGAGGTAAGTTCCTTGATTTTAGATAAAAGGTTCCAATATAAGTTGGAAAAATTGAAACCTATTTCATGGATATCTTCCATTGAAGGAAATGGATTTTCACCTGAAAGCAAGTGTCCATACACAGGTGTTGTGACCCATCAAAGGGGTGACACAACGACCACTTGAGAGATCCCACATCATAATCGTACCGTCTTCATCACCAGATGCCATGTAACGACCATCAGGTGACATTGCCAAAGATAAAACCATACTTCTGTGACCAATGAAAATCCTAACGCACTCCCCACTCTGTACATCCCACAATCGAACTGTTTTGTCACTAGATCCCGTTGCAATGTAGTTGCAGTTTGCATGCCATTGTACACACTGAAAAGTGAAATCCAACATTAAGAATTTAATTTGTGAAATTAATATTAAAAACAATCCAATTAAAAAGCCAAAGACCCTTGCACAAATCAAAAGCAGCAGCAATACCAAGAGCGGAATGAATCAATATTATTCTTGCAGATTAAAATCCCCTGGCCCCTGGGAAGTTAAATACGAACATCTACTTCCCAATTTTACATGGAAAAGAGTATCGTAATACTGGTTATTAAAGGTGATAGGCAACAAACAACAACTATATAAGAGCCTTGTAACAATGAGCACCACCCCCCGTTTTGTGTGTCTAACAAACAGGAGGAAGATTCTTAATAACAAGAGAACATCTTGCACGCTGCAACTACAAGATACTTGTTTCGAATAAGCAACCACCATATAGATAAAACTTGGAGTTTAAAGTATTATGTATAATGCTGGATAAGAGGTGATTAAGTGATTATTTTGGTTATGTTTGTCAGATGGTCAATAAATGAATAAACATACAGATAAATGAAGTGAGAAGTGATTATAGAATGGTGTGTGATATTTGAATACCAACCAATTAAATGGAAAACTGAAGATATTTCATGGCTCATAATGTGGGGCAATCCAGTAACAGGTCAACCATGTTCACAAGCAAATATAACAGGTCAACCATGTTCACAAGCAAATATAACTGAAATAAAGATGTTGATAAGGATCAATTTGGAAAGCTAGGACACAGAGCATGCATGAAAGCTGAAAGAAAATCAATTTAAGGACAATATGAAAAGGAATCTAAGATCATTTCGTCAAGTCGAAAGAAAACACAATTGCGTCGGGTATACAGGACACACAGGAGTAATCATAATGAACTTAAAGAGTGTTGGAATGACAAGAAGGCCACAAGGAATGCGACTTAAGGCTGTGATAAAATAAGCATACAATTCATCAAAGTTAACAAATACGAAACGTAATCCCTAAAAAGAAGAAAGCTATATGGTGGCCTTCAATAAGAAAAGATAGTCATGTATAGCACAAAAGGGAGTAAAAAAAATATTCATATAGCCATTTCCAGGGATTATTTATCCATGTATAAATACTAGTGGTTGATTCACATATTAATAAATTTAACGACCAGATTGATGATTTCTTTGCAACCAAGACCATAACAGACCTCATCATGTGAGAAAGGACATTTCTTTTTCATCGTCATCATTAATAATAATTGCAGACATGATGACAATGTTGCTTACTGTCTTGTTCCCACTTGTCCAACTGTTGCTGAGCAGTTTTTGGATATCAAACGGACCTCCCCAGAAGGTAATTTTAATGTGGCCGATTTCCCCTCTTTTGCAATCAGTTTCACTACAACACCCGCTGCTCTAGCTAATTGTCCATCCTTTCCAAGTGTGATTTCTATGTTATGCATGGCCGTGCCTAGGGGCATATCGGTTGTAGCAGACTCTTCTTTTTGATCAATCAAAACCCCTTCACAAACTGTACAAGCTTCTTCCAAAGCATACGGCCTTCTGGATGTAGATCTCTATACAGATGGATCTTATATATATCATATAATGGAGTACCACACGAGTGGATATATGGGAATCCAAATCCACCGAATCACTACAAAAAAGGTATAAAGGAGCTAGCAAATGAATGGAAAAAAAAAGGAGCAGCAGTTACAACAGCCGAAGTTACCACATACTCAACCTTAAGAACCCACACAACAATTCATAAACAAAACTGATATGCTTCTCACAAGTCAATTGCAGAGGAATTCCGAATTTTTTAGTTTTTTTTTGGATAAGTAATGATTGTATAAAAAGCGTTCAAACGGGGAACGCATCCCTCAAAAGCCACACAAGGCCAAATAGGGCCTCTAGCTCCTCCAAGGATTTACAACAAAAAAGAGTACTAATAATAGAGAAATTCAACATCCGATAGGATTCTCCTTTCCTTCAAATGGTACTCCAATTTCTTTCAAGCCACCAGACGCATAAAAGCATAACCCTCAGAAATCACGAACTTAGACCCCACTATACAACCTCTCCAAGCCTCAACCAAGCCTATGAAAATAAGTAGGAGGCTCGACAAAGTACTCTTCATTAGAGTAACCCTTCCACCTTTAGAAAGATACTGCTGCTTCCAACCGGCCAACCTCATCTCATATCTCTCGACCACTAGATCCCAACTTCCCACTCTCCTAGATGGAGTCCTAAGAGGCAAAACAAGATAAGAAATGGAAAAGGAGCCAATAATGCATCCCAAAATATAAAGCTAAGGTGGAGATATAAGTAACCTCCCCAACTGGAACTATGACACTCTTTTTCACATTCACCTTCAAGCCAAAAACGAATTGAAAGAAAATCAAAAGGCATCTCAAGTATCTCATCCGAGACTCATCCACATCACAAAAAACAATCATCTACAAACATAAAATGAGAAATCTCCAACTGACTAGCAACATCCCTACCCACCCAGAAACCTCTCAAAAAGCCTAAGTCCACTACCGTAGTCATCATTCTGTTGAATGGACTAGGCCACAACATGGCTTATGAGAAAGCCCGCAACTGACTGCCCCACTTTGACCAAGCCCAACCTCATTATCAAATTTAAAATTTGAACCTCCAACTCGTGCATCATCATGTGAGGCATTTGCTATCACCCGCCCATAACAATAAGGCTTCGGTTGACAACCACGTGTCACCCCATTAACCTATCTATCCTACGCTCCTTCAGCGCATGTAGGATCGATCGTCCCTGTCCTTCATCCACAACGCACTTTTGCAACTCCAATCTGTGATCTTGCCGACCCACTTGACATCGCATCCCTTCCTATCAAAACGATCGACTTTCGTCATTTCCTTTCAAAGCATCCGATCCGAGCACCAAACATGGAGCGATTTCTTCCATCAACGAGACCTTGTAGGCAACCTAATTATCCTCCACAATGATGAACACCGGAATATCCCCTCCCTCGGCGACGATGAGGATGATCGTCTCAGTATCACTCATTTCGTGCACCTCCACATCACGAAAACCACCACATAAATAGCTGTTGGGCTCAGCGGAAGCGCACGAATAAGAAAGTTTCAATGAAAGCCAACAAAGTAATCACACACAAACACAAGATATACATGGTTCAGCTAAAACCAGCCTACGTCCATGGATGAGAAGAGATTCTACTATGATTCGTAAAGCTATTTTTTTTTTTATAAGTAAAGCTATTCGTAAAGCTATTACAACAATAGAATACCAACCCCACCACTCCACGAGCCCATTTCCTCGCTTCCAGCGTTACCGGTGGTGTTTTTCGTACTCTACCAACCCTCATACTACCTCTACCCATCAACTCCCCCATGAGACTACATCTCTCTCAATCTCATGAGTATCAACTCAGAGCCTATGTATCTATTTATAGAGTTAACCAAACTCAATTCCTTGTTAGACAAGGATTGCAATTTGTTAGGGGCTAAGACTTGCCAAACAAGAAATTACCAAATAGAATACAACTCTAAAATAGAAACATAATTAGAATAGGAATTTTAGACACAAATCCCAACATCCAAAGGCCTCAAAGAGTTTCTAACACCATAGATGCAAAGGAAGGCCATACATAATGATTCTCCTTTTCTTTCTCTTCTTCCACCATCCTGAACATCCAACTACAAGGTACCAAACATCTATAATCAGTTGCACTTCTCCCCACTTCTTGCCCGATTTTAGAACTCTTAGTACTTTAACTTCCAATGGCAATCTGAACAGTAGAAGTCCGTCCAGCAAAGTGGTTACCAACACCCCGCAAGAAGTCTTCCATACCTTCGTAGCCCACTCCTAAATCCTTCAAAGACTACCCACATCTCTGTCAAATCGTCCAACCAGACAAGATTTCAGCACAACCCTGCGGATCGTTGAAGTGTGTTTATCAAACCTGGAAAACACGTCCTCTGCTTGCCGATTGCTTTTAACTTCACCTTTAACAGCCAGACGAGGTAGTTTTGCTACCTCAAGAAACAAGTGTTTTCCTCCCTCAACAGCTGTCATGGCTTCTTGTTTGCCTACATAAGCTCATGGGCGTTCCAAAGAGTTCTTGGACCTGCTGGTCCTCGACGCATTGCTGGAGTCTGAAGCATGTGATTTAGCCTATGGTTAGGCACCTCCACTTCCAAGTGATGTTTCCTCTCTTTCAAGATGTCACTGAAAAGACACAAAACTGCGCCCACCAATACCTGCCTAACAGTTCCATCGGGCAGCCCCCTTTATCAGCAACCCGACAGATCATTGACTAAACTCAGCATGATCTAATGGACATAAAAAAGAAACAATAATATATTCCATAAATCTCTCACCTCAGAGCAATGCAACATAGATGATCAACTAATTTCTCTGTTACTTTTGCACAAGCAGTGTCAATTAGGCAGAAATTTTCCCTTCCTCACTAAATTATTCATTGTCACTATTTTCTTCAATGCATCTGTCCATGCAAAGAAACCATCTTACAGTGTACTCAAGATTTCCATATTACCCTTTCCTAGGAAGCTTGGGTCCTCTCTCCATTTAATACCTTATAAATGAGCTTGCCCAAAAAATTCCACTTTTAGAGACCTCCACCTTAATAGTTTCACTCTTCCACACGTAATCATAGCACCATCCACACCAAAACAAGGATCCCACATGCTACCTTTACTTGAGAAACTAACAAAATATGCAAAGTGAGCCTTTTATCCACTGCAAAACCAAATCGCTTAGCGAAGATTTCTTCGGGAATTGCATCCCCACACCAAATATTATGCCAAAATTGCACCCTCTGAAATCACCCACACCCATTCCAATGCAACCAAAAGTCTATCATACTTCAACAAATCATCCCACTCCCTCCAAATATCTTTCCATAACTCCACCCACCAAGAACTTCTTTTGTTCATCTAGTTGCCCCTGGCCCTCCAATATTTGCCAGAACCACCCTCCTTGCATACCATAAAACAAACTGCACTTCATATTTACTCATCAAAAATTCCAATTCCTACTTTGAAGGTACAAGACAAATGTGATATAGTCGTTTTGGTATGTTACCTGGATAAAATATCTGACATATGTACTTCACAAAAATTCCAAGAACGACTCAGTTTCCTATATTCTGGGATCTAGCTAAACTATGAAGATTTTAAGGGCAAGTAAATGAGTGCTCAAGAAATGGTTTTAATATGTTTCAACAGAGATTTTGCATCACATCAAATAGAAAAAATAAAGTCCAACGTCTAGATTAGAGGGGGCACGCACACAAACACAAGCACACATAAATGGGGAGAGAGAGAGTAAAGTGCTCACATCGACGTCAGATAAGTGTCCTGCCATTATTCTTAAAGGCTGTATTCTGTCCATAGACCAGATCCTAGCAGTTCGATCATGTGAAGCACTGGCGAAATAATGTCCTGCAGGACTAAACTGCATTATGAAAAAAAAGTAAGAAAATAAGGTCCGACATTAGCATGTCCTAATCAGATGTGTTTTGTATGCTGATGTGTGTGTCAATATAAATAAAATAAAAAAAGGAAACATGACATGAACAAGAAATGTAGAGAACATTTTCACCCCAAAAAAAAATGAAGAAGAAGAAGATTTATAGAGAACAAGAAAAAAAAAATGCACTGCAGTCATTCAAGTTAAACTTAGGCTAGATGGCATGCGTTAATCCCTTTGAAATAATTGTCAAATACATATGGTGGTAGACTAGTAGCAGTAAGAATATTGAGCAGTCCTATGCAATGGCTTCACAAGTCAACCATGCACTGGAGCAATCACCAATATATCAATGATATACAAGAAATCACCGACAGATTCTGTTGCATTACTAGTGCTGCATAGTCACCAATTTTTTATTTCGCCTGTCATGCTTAGTGCCTTTATCTTTACTTATGTAGGCAGTCTCAAATTTGGAAAAAGAGGAGGATTGTGTTAGGTTGTTTGACAGTCAGGATAAAGTACAAAAACTTCCATTAGGTCTACATGAACATGTATTCCAAGAATATGTGAGTATAAGTTAGGGCATTCCCCTTAAGCAACGGATTGCATTTGCTTCCAGATACTTCGGAAAATGAGCAAGGGAGAGCATACGGTGCCAGATGCAGTGAAAAGTGGGCAAAGGTTCCAACCTTTTTCTGGATCAGTGCAGGTAAAGAAGTTAGCCAAGGTAGTAGGCTTAGAATAGGAACTTGGAATATAGGAACATTGACAAGTATAGAATGGAGCTAATAAGAACTCTGATTAGAATAAGAGTCAATATAGCGTGCTTACAAGAGACTAAGTGGGTAGGAGAGATAGCTAGAAAAGTTGAAAATACAACATATAAACTATATTACACTGGAAAGATAGATATAGGAAGAAAAATAAGGATAGTAGCTAAGAATTTAAAAGAAAATGTTGTTACAGCTATTAGAAAAAGGTATGGGAAGATATTAGTAAAACTTGTACAAGGAGCAACTATTGTTAATATAATTAGCACTTATGCACCACAAGTAGGACTAGACAAACATATTAAAGCACAATTTCTAGAACATATAGAGGAATCAAGAAATACCCGAAGGAAAATAATTATTTATAGAAGGAGATTTTATTGGCCATAAAAGAAATGATCATGGAAAATATTAGGTGCATGGGAGACAAAGATTTGGAGATGGGAATGACAGTGGAATGGCTATCTTTGATTTTTTTTTTTTTTTTTTTTTTTTTTTTCCCTAGTTGGTACTCACACACACTTGTTTCTTTTGAGACTTGAACCCCTGACCTCCCTTTGGGAGGTAAGAGGCTGATACCGCTAGGCCACTGGCCCATTGGTGCTATCTTTGATTTTACAATAGCATATAATGTTATAGTGGCAAATACTTGTTTTAAAAGAAATGAACATATTATAATCTTTAAAAGTGGATTCAATATATGTCAAAAAGTAGATAGACACATGTGCAAAGATTGTTAGGTTATTCTAGGAGAGAGTTTAACATCTTGATAGTCCTAGACATGTATAAAAGACAATCAAGAAAGAGAAAGAGAATTATAAAGCCAAGAATTAGACGGTGGAATTTGAAAGGGGCGAAGTAGAATTATTTAAGAATAAGATGTTAAAATTAAAGGCATGAAATAAAAGATGAAACAAATTTAATGTAGAATAAGGCTGAAAGTATTAAAAGACCAACAAAAGAGAAAGGGAGATGGCCATCATCTAAGGCAACTTGGTTGTAGGATGAGGATGTCCAAACATCTTAGAAACGAAAAGCTGAGTGCTACAAAATTTAGTAAAAGACTAAAAATGAAGAAACCTTTGAGAAATACAAACATGGAAACAAAATAGTTTAAAATAGTAGTGAGGGAACCTAAGAATATAGCATATGATAGAATTTTTTTCGAACCTGCTAAATTAAGGAAGATGAAACTAGAGATTTCAACAAAATTATGTACATCAAGAGTGAGGATCTAAGGGTTTTAGTGAAAATGATGAAAGGGGAAATATGCTGGCCCTGCTCAACTACCGGTATACCATCCAATGGCTTGACTATGCTTTATGAAGGACATGGCAAGAGGCTTTGCATCCAATCGTTCTGCCTTAGCTTGTAATTCCTTAGATAAAGAACCCATTAAGGGAAAGGAGGTTGGGAGCTACTGGGATTTAGGAGGCTGGAGGCGCTTTCTGCCACTATGGAAAAGTAGACATTTCTCTCTGGGAAAAACACATAAGATTTGTTCTCACTCCGATGTGAGGCAGTACTTCTTGAATTCTTTTTTCCAAGTCCTCCTTGAACAGAGCTCTTTACGAGTAAGTAGCTCCATCATCCTTTTCTGGGTACGTATGCTATTCAAAGCATCATGAAAGTCTGGGTTAACAACGATGTGGCTAATGCTTCTTGGGTATTATGACTCCTTTCTCCACCTAGTAGCTGTATGAGCGGGAACGTCTACAATTCTTTCTATTTGTCACTTTCCAGGATGGGACTAAACTAATAGGTATATCGCAACATGTGCTTCCTCGCTTGACTGAGCCATGGCATACTTGGCTGTGCTGACAGCATAGCATAGAGAATTTTACTGTACACAAGTACTCTCGGTCAATCATCTCATTCTCCTAATGGATATTCTCCTCGTACATGCGGCTACTAGAAGTCTAGGGGGGCGCCTATCGAGATCCGCCCGACAGCAAGTCCGTAATTTGGCCTTACCTTATGACCTTGGCCAACTTTCTTCATCCCCACCCTTATCCCCTCACAAAAGCAACTCACACATCCTCATTCTGAGGAAGCACTATATGTTCTCCTTCATGGATGGTTTTTCTGGGGATTGACAAGCATGTCTCAGCAAGAATAAACGACAGGTTCCTCAATTGACTAACTGACCTATCTGTTTCCGCGCCAGGCGATCTCTTTCCTTATTTTGTTAACTGATGTCATGTCAGCAGGTTCTTATGCGGTAAGTTATACCATGCTATCTGATTGATGAAGAAGATGTAGCCTGGTCGACCAAAGAAAGTATTGAAAATTTAAGGGAGGAATCAGGGAACAAAAATCTTTCAATAACTGATGTTGCTTCCTATTATTGAAGATTTGGTATTAATAAAGGAATCAGTAGAGAAAAATCCTCCTTGTTTCCTATTTTCTAATTCTTTTCATTCTCATAATTTCTTCTCCTATATAAAGGAGCCTCCACCATTGTATTTTATATGAATTGAGAGAGTATTATAAAAGTGATGTAGCCTTTTGGGCTCTTTGTCCAGTGAATGTAGGCCCTAGTGGCTGAACTACGTAATATCGGTGTGTTCTTGTCTCATTTCTCTCCTCGCTTCCGTTTTATTATTTAGAACATGGTATCAAAGCCTAATTTCTCTTCCTAAGTTCGGACCCATATTTTGGGGTATTCTCTTAGCATCTGAAATATTGTTAAGGGTTTCTCGATGCTATTTGAGACTTGTTTGGGCTGCTGGTTTGTTCGGCAGTAATGTTCTTCGCCTTTTCCGTGCCTCTGGCAGTTTTTATTGACTTGTTTGGGCTGCTGGTGTGTTCGGTAGCATTGTCTTCGTCTTTGCCGTGTCTCTCGCAGTTTTTATCGACTTGTTTAGGTTTCCGGTGTATTCGATAGCATTGTCCTCGCCTTTGCCGTGTCTTCGGCAATTTTTTGTTGACTTGTTTGGGCTGTTGGTGTGTTCGATAGCATTGTCCTCTCCTTTTTCGTGTCTTCGACAGTTTTTATCGACTTGTTTGGGCTGCCGGTGTGTTCGGTAGCATTGTCCTCGCCTTTGCCGTGTCTCCGGTAATTTTCTGTTGACTTGTTTGGCCTGTCGATGTGTTCGGTAGCATTGTTCTTCGTCTTCTCTCTTCTCTCTTCATCATTCACACTAGTTGTTACTCGTCATCTCAATGGCAAGTTGGGCATTCGTGCTCCAACTCGAGGGGGAGTATTGAAGATTTAAGGGAGGACTCAGTGAAGGAAAATCTTTCCGTAATTGATGTTGTTTCCTACTATTGAAGATTTGGTATTAATAGAGGAATAAAAATCCTCCTTGTTTCCAATTTTCTAATTCTTCCCATTCTCATAATTTCTTCTCCTATATAAAGGATCCTCCACCATTGTATTTTATATGAATTGAGAGAGTTTTATAAAAGTGATGTAGCCCTTTGGGCTCTTTGTCCCGTGGATGTAGGTAACCACGTAATATCGGTATGTTCTTGTTTCATTTCTCTCCTCGCTTCCGTTTTATTATTTACAACAGAAAGAAAAAGAGGTAAACCGACACCCAACTTCCTTGTGACAGGCGAATGGATGTCACCGATATTTACCAACTCCCTTGTTAGTAAAAAGACCTTTATATTACTAATAAAAAAAATGATGAAATTTGAGAAAGATGGAATATGTTATTCCGCAGGACAGTAAATGCGAGGTAAAAAATACATTGAGTAAGATGAAAACATATTCAGATTTCGTACATGAAAACAGATTAGGCTTTAAACCTAATGGCATTCGATTGATAGGTGTTTAGGAGATGATGGGATGTCCTGGCTAACAAAATTGCTCAAAAAGATGATAATAACTAAAATTGCCTGATGCGTGGAGTAAAAGGTTAAAGATAAGACAGACTAACTAAATATATGGAACGCAACTTTAGTAAAACTAGAAATACAAGCAAGAATGTAGTAAAAATCGAGAATCAAGATATATCACAAACCTAACATTTTAGTTAGAGACCCGATTGTGTACAGAGACAATATTAATCATAAAATTAAAGCAGGATGGATCAAACAACTACAAGTCTAGCCATACTTTATGAGACAAAATGTTGGACAACTAAAAAACAACATTTTCATAGAATGAGTGTGGCAGAAATGTGAATATTGAAATGCATGTATGGCAAGACAAAAAAAAAAAAAAAAAAATGAATCCATGAGATGGTTGTACTTGCACCAATGAAAGATATAAGGAGAGAACCAATTAAGATGGTTTGGCCATGAGCAGCGATGTCCAAAATTTGCACTGGTTTGGAAAAGTGACGTGGTCCTTATTGAGGCTAATGCTAGGGGAAGGAAAAACCAAAACTAACATGGGTTGAGATAATTGGAAAATATATGATAGTTTGTTGTTTAACTGAGGTGATGGCCGCTAAAATGGAATAGTGAAAAGGGATTCATGTAGCCAACACCAAAAAGTTGGTGAAAGGCTTTGTTTAATTGAGTTGGATCACCAATTATACATTTCCAGGTAACATGCCATGTGCAATAAATAATATCAGTTTAAACAACTTAATACTAAAATCAAGCTAGAATAACCAAGACATTAGAATTCGCCCTCGATTTCTCGTAAACAATCTCAATCATATAGTTCATTACCAAGGACAACACATCATGGTAGTGACCAGGGCATCCATTACCAACACAAAAATTTAACATAAAACCAAAATCAAAAGGCAGCATGTATCATGATGAATCCTATATCAAAAAATTTTACCTGAACATCCCAAACAGGGTAATTGTGACCCTTGTAGCAAACGAGATTTGCATTTAATTTCGTGCTCCATAATCTAACTGCAGAAAATTTACGCAATTTTTCAAGTTATACAGTAGTTTCAGAACTAAGACTAATTTCAGATCAAACATGCAAAAGAATCTAAGTTTAGTTAGAACCAAATCTGCAAAGAGAGAAAGAAAGAACAAAATGGAACATTACAGTTAGGGAGCACATACTTGTTGAATCTGATGAAGAGGATAGCAGATAATCCCCAAAAGGACTAAAAGTGGCTGAATAAATGGGCCCAGAATGACCCTGAAATAATGTATAAGGTCTTCTTCCACTGTTCTCCCCAAGTAAATGCTCACTGGGAGCCAAATCACTTTCACCCTGCAAAGTAGCTGACACTAGAAATGTTTCAAACCAGAATTTATTTCTATGCATAAGAAACAAACAAGCTTCTTTTGTTTTTAATCCCCTTGATAAGTCAATAAGACAACAAACAAACATATGTACAAAGCAAGTTGATTTATGGACAAATTGATATCCAGAAAAGAGATGTTTATGACTTGAATCTAACAATTCATTTTACAATGATTTAAAGAATTTTCGAAACTCTCCTTTAGCTATTTAAACAGCAGCTGCAAAACATTTTAAATTAAGTTTCTTAAGTCAATTTAGGGAAGTATGTACAAGAATAAACTTAAATCAATTTTGACAGGTACTCTCAAGTCTCAACTAAACCGGACTGGAGTAGGGTTAGATTTTGACACCCACTACAGTAACAAATGATACTTGTACTATTGACTCAGCATTTTCACAGACGACTTCAATACACCAAAACTTTAAGCTTCAGAAGTGATGAGTAGAAAAATTAAATATCAATTGCCAAAATAAATCGTCCACTGGGTATTTGAGCTCCAAGTAAACTAATTTCTTTTGGGTGGTAATCGTTCTATAGACTACAGCACAACTTTATAGGCAAAAAATGTTAGCCATATCCAATTATGATTCAATTTATCTCAATATTATGCATTCAATTTTTTTCATAAGTAAGTTGCCTATTTGGATCTTCGTATCCTATATATATATATATATATATATATATAAATCTAATGGCTTACCCATGTAACAGGGATTGGGGGATACGGGACTAGTGTAAGACGGGAAAAAAAGAAACACTCTTATGAGCTGTGTTACCAGGATTGATTTAGGGCAGCACTAAAAGGAGCTATTTAAACAATGATTGTAATCATTTAATTCATCACTGAAAAAAGTAAAACTATTGACTTCTAGGATTTAAACGGTGTAAGAAGGAATAGAGCATGGGGGTTATGATCATGGTTATCGAAATTGCAATCCAGATCATGGGGTTGCACAATCTTATTGTCCAAACTAATCAAGTCAAATATGATCATATGAAAAATTGTACAGAAATAAGATCCCCATAGGATCATTCAAGATCCTAGGATCAACATATGATTTGTTTCTTTTCATATGGTACATGAAAACATTCGTAAAGTAGATAAATTTAAGACCTTTTATCTAAAAGTGTTGGTTGATAGATTGTGTAGAAGAAATTTTCTAGGTTTATTTCAATAAAACTAACTTTGGAATTATAAAACATAGAATTCAGCAAGGTGAAATTAGAATAGAACGATCTGAACCTTGGTCTTCCCATACGTAACCTTGCTTGCAAATTGCGGGTTGTTAATGTTCTAGACCTACATTACCAAATTTGGGCAAATCTGTGCATGAATACATGTGCCTTACTTCAGATGCATAGCTTGCAAACCAATAATGAGCTTCTCATATTTTTGGAATTCATAGACCACTTTGATGAAGTGGAAGGCTATACCACCCTGTCCCAAAAGCACCAATGATGTTGAGGATTCAGTCAGGACATGGTCTTCAAGATATCTCTCGAGTCCCGATTGATGATTGTATAGAGAAGATTCCAAGTGTGCCACAACTATGGAAGTTGGAATTTTGCACAGGCGTGAGATCCTTGTTTTCATGCAAGTCGTTTTTAATGGGTTGTAGACGTCAACTTTGGTGATTTTGCTGTCATCAACCATCTATCCCTCAAACAAAGATCTCGAAAGTATGGTTAACAACTTAACCGTAACTTGTGTACATGGTCACTCGTGGAAGGCTCAACTACGTTTTGACAGGTTTACTATAACATTGGCATACCTACTATTGTCAGTCACCGGTGGAGGTTCGACCACATTCTAATCGATTTATGATACATAATCTGTCTAGTGTTCCTGGTCACCTGTAGGGGCTTGACTGCAATGTGATCACTTTAGTCACTTTGCGGAGCCTCAACTGCAAAGTGATCGGTTTACCTACACTAGGCTTGCTTTGTATATCTGGTCACATTGGAGCCCTGACTGCAATCTGATCAGTTTACCTACAAATCTTGGTACACCTGGTCACCTGAGGAGCCTTGACTGCAATCTGATCAGTTTACCAACACTAAATTTGTCTAGTATATCTTGTTCATGATGGAGCTCCAACAACCACCATTAGGTTTTTGCACTGAGTAGTGAGTATGTCTTTCCACCAATGGAGTCCTTACAGTTACTAGATTGACATTCTTCACTCAATGCATTTGTTCACCCATGGAGTATGATAGCAAGTTCAAAAGCAAGATGGGTGCCCTTCAAGATTTTATAATTTGCTACAAGGCCAGGAAACTCTGCTGACCCAAGATATTGACGTAGAACCTACTCTAGTCATGAGAGTGAAAACTCAAAACTTTCTCAAAACAAAACAATCATCCATCAGTTTAGCCGTTCATAGTTTATACTCTTGTGGGCTGGGAGTATTGCACAGTTTAGACTAATAAGTTTTGGAGCATTTGGGTTTATGTTTAAGCTTGGAGATTAATTAGAATCATGTTAAGGAGTTTTAATAATTGAGGACAGTTTAGGCTCGTGTAAATGAACACTCTGGACAATTTAAATTCGTGTGAGGAGCATTTCAGATAGTTTAGGCTCGTTTTAAGGAGCATTTGGACCTTGTGTAGCTTTTGCGGGTTGTAATCCCCGTTCGATCGCTTTTTAATACAATATTACTTATCAAAACAAAAGTTAAGGAGTATTCTGGACAGTTTAGGGTTGTGTTGAGACGCATTTTAGATAGTTTAGGCTCTTGTCAAGGATCATTCTGAACAGTTTAGGGTCGTGTCGTGAACATTTCAGATGGTTTAGGCTCATGTCAAGGAGTATTTTGAGGACAATTTAAGTTTGTGTCAAGGAGAAACTCCTGAAATTTTATTTTGCAAAGAAGAAAGGTAGATAAAATGTTAGACGGTGAAACAAATGGACAGCTAGGGTTTGGGCGTTCGTTTGTGGAGGTTGTACGGCTGCCTCGTATTCCCACCGACAGGGAGGTCATAGTCACTATTTTTATGTGGCTGAGAGTGTTATATGGAAGGGGTGAGAAATGCTTGTGGGTTGACAGAGAAGTGGGTTCTCTGGCTTAAGTCGAAGCAAGAGCATCGAAGGCATGGAAGGTTGCTTGTGGTGTTGCAGTATCTCCATTGCCGGATTCCTTGATGCCATTCCACCAGGAGGCTATTAGGGTTAAATGGAGGGGAAAAGGGTAAGGGGGAGACGACGCTACATTTGGACATTGGTCCTTTCGAGTAGAATGCTTTGGCTTGTTGAGGAAGAGAAAGGATTACCACTGCATTTGTGGTGTTACCCTTTATTTGAGGCCATCAGTGATGTTTATGGGGAATTTAAGACTCTGGAGGCAGATGACTGTGCTATCAAGTGAAGTTGATGGAGGAAAAGTTGTCAGAGCTGTATCTGATGCGGCATCCTTAGTCGGTAGAGATGATAGCTCACTAATTCTGGAGGATAAGTGGTGGCGGGTTTTTTTTTTTTTTGGGGGGCGGGCGGGCGGACTTGGTAGCAGAAAAGATAGGGAAGAGTCGAAGCTGAGAAAGAAAGTCCGAGATTAGGATTACAAAGATTGTGGGTGAACAGAGGTAAGGAATGAAGTGCAGCGCATGAGCTTGAAACGTGTGGAAGGGTGAAAGATGGAGGAGGGACACTTGGCACAAGGAGGCAGCCCATTCGTGCATGGTGGAAGCTAGTTGGGGAACATGTTGTGAAGCAGATATTTTTAAAAAACTAGGGAGAGTAATGTACATCTCCTTTCTTCTTCTACTCTGGGGGAAACTGTAAGGGGAGAAGATGGTGGTGGAAATTCCCGATGGCAAAGGAATGAGAGTTCGATGAGAGAGACTGTGATGGATGTCGAAAAAAATGATGATAGTGTGACAATTGGAAGGGAGGGTAGTGTGCGTCAGGAGGAGGGAGAGTCGGTTCAAATTGCAGTGTTCGAAAGGAGGATGGTGCAATCATTTTATGCTAGGAAAAGGAATTCAACTGAGATTGGAGAAGGAATCTACTGCGATGGCAGAGTTGAGATTACATGGTGATATGGGAGACTTGGGGAAGCTAGAAGAAGGAAATAGGTTAGTGAATGGAGACGCCTCTTCTGATGACGGTATAATCTGAGATTCGGCAGAGTTTCAGTAGTTTTCTAGTCTCTTTGTCTGTCACTCTGTCTTTGATGTGTTGAGTGGCCTTCTATTTATAGGCCAAATGCTGGAATGTTTAATTTCCGTAATTAAGAGAAATTTGTCTCTTTTTATATGGAAATAACTTTAAATGTGAATTTGAATTGTAATGCTTTCTATAAAAGTCAGTACCTTCAAGATTCTGATAGGTGCCCATTCATAGGACCCGCATTGATGGAATTTATTTGATCAAAAGATTGACTTTTTGACCAATCGAATAGTGAAAAGACCATCTCCAAATTTAGTGTCCACGCACGCATGCATGAATCATGTTAACTATTCAGCTACATTTACATCTGTGTTTCGTAAAAAAATCTGTAATCATGTGAGCTTCAGAAGGCATTAAATTTCCCCATATTACTAACGGGTCCTGATATTGTGATTTCAAATTCAGTAAAAATAAAATCTACCTAAATTCATATAATTTCTACCTACGTGTACGAAAGCTTGGACATAGCTTGCTTACAGTGAAAGTCCATACCGAGGGGTAGGTTGAAATTCTCATTAAGAAATAAATTTGAACAAACAACGTGCAGGATGCTGCTATTGAGATTTTGGGAGGAAACTTGCAGAGTTACGAGGCAAGATCTCTAGATGGGAAGAAATCATATACAAATGCGGTCACAAATTTAGTAATTTCATCCTACTGCAAGCAGTGAAAACTGCATCAGACACTCATTTTGGTCCAATATCTGGTAACAATTATTTCTAGTTTTTCATAGATCGTCTGGAGAATAAAAATCAGTTTTTCTAGTCATATTGTATTGGTAGATGCCTCATCACAATGCCAATAATAAGCAGTATTAGGCCTATAGAAGCAATGGCCAAGGCCAATGCTTAAAACTACACTAATTATTCTAGTTTTATACTTGTGTCTATAGACCTAGGCGATAGAGCTTCTTTTTCCTCGAGTTTTTACTCATAATAAACACACCTGATAATAGTTTTTCGCTAAATCTTTTCTTGCATTTATAATAATGCAGCAACAATAAGATGTATTTTTAAAGACCAACACAATGGCATGTCCCCAAGCAAAAGTATACCACACCATCACACAGAAACAGGAACATATCATAAAACACTTACAATTGCCAATTTGTTGCCCAAGCTTTGCCATGTCCCAAACCTGTGGACCACAGCTTGAGCATTAGCAAACAGAAAAATTCACTAGATGCTTATTCAGCAAGATACATTGACAGAGAATACAACCTTTAGTGACGAGTCTGAGAATCCACCAGCAACCAATGATCCATCATGAGATATTGATGAGCAGTTTAAACTAGAAACCATTTGACATACAAATCAGAAATTGACCACAGAACAAAGTTCAAAAATACTAAGTCAAGAACCAAGTGAAAGACGTACCTGTTATGTGTGTTTATAAATGTATAGAAGCTAATTGAAGGAAGTGCCACACCACTTAACTGCACGCGGTTCCTTAGGTCTTCAAGGATAGAGTGTTCCACTTCTGTTGGCCTGAGATGGAGAACAAACATTACCAGAGCATGCAGTAAAAAATTCAGCTTAATGTCATTGACTTCTTAACCTGAGACCCTACCAAAAGCCAATTAAAAAATACTCCATTCATAATGATGGTGAAGTTCTAGGTGATATTATCAAGTAAATATTCCCAAATATCTGAAAATGGTTCCACAACAAATGCTACAAAAGAAAAATGACTCCTCCAAACGTTTCATTTTCCATTTTGCCACCTCATACATTTGTGGCCTAAAGTGATTGAGGAAGGGTTTGTGTGCACAAACATATTAGTACTTGTATACATGTTTAAGTACCATCCACTTATGCAGACATCTGCATAGATGTACTCACAGAGAAATAAAGACAAAATTATGAATACTTAGGATATATTATTAAGTACTATTACAATTTACCATAAAATATAAGATAGTAGAAATATAAAAAGAAGAAGGAGAGAATTGTGTAAAGGCTTGAATGAGATAAATCACTCATTCACAGCTCTGCTAACAAATATAAAGATTGATTAAGACACTAACCTATCTAAAAGAAAAGGAGAAAATAAAAATAAGTAAACATCAGATAAAATGGCAGGGGTTCAGATAAAAGTGCAATTTGGCTGCTGATATAGCCAAACCCAGTGTTGGCTGCTGCCAGAGCAAATGCTTCTGTGGATGGTTATATTGGATCTTCAGAGTTTTGCATTGCTCTGGCAGCAGTCGGTTCCACTTTGGCAATAGGGACTCCCTTTAATATAATACAGTAAAGAGAAAAAGTGAAAAAAAAAAGCATGCTTAAGGAATATTCGTCTCCCAAAGAGTAAGTGGAAAATGTTCCTTGCTCTTCCATTTTTTCCTTGTCATCTCTTATTCCCTTTTTTCCAATTAAAGTTGATAATAAAGTTTTCAATTTCTTCTCAGTTCTTTCACCACCAATCAATTAGGGTCACATAACATTTTAACCTTCTTTATCAATCAAACGCAGCAGTTCACCATGAAAGTGTGATATAGTAGAGTAGGAAACACGACATATGGGAAGGAATTTTGAGCACGTTTTACTTAGATATTGTTCGACAAATTGACTTGGGCACCAATTTGTTTATGCAGTAATGAACTTTACATAATTTGGAAGCAAAAATTAAAAGAAAATGCTACCTACATACCAAAATAAACAACCCTTTTGGGACTTTAAATTTTGAAGGGGTCATGTACTAAATGTTCGTCTCCCTTGGAAATTCCAAAACTACTAAAACTTTTGGGATTTACTTTATTATTGGGGGAAATTTTCAAAACAAACATCTCCAGTAATCAAGTTTGAAAGTACAAAAGCAAAAATTGTTTTTCTAGTATTAAAAAATAAAAATAAAAATTTCTTGTGAACTAAAAACTTTACCCAGAACAGCACCATAAGTAAAACCACACCAACAGCCTACAACACTGGTGGCACTAACACAATCACCATCAACTACATCAATGCCATGACTGCATACCAGCTACAACATTTATCCACAATCAAACTCTGCAACCACAAACAAATCTAATTGGCTGATGATGAACAGTATCCCATCCTTGGTAACCTAAAACTCTAGGTGAGGTGACAAATGGCACTCCTTGGGAAAGGATTTTCATTCCTTGGGAATTGTCATTCCCATTCTAAATGTCATACCAAACAAGGGAATAGTTGAATGGAATGCCCATTCCATTCCATTCCTGCATACCAAACTAGGCCTTAGCGAATAGAGAAGCCCTCAAGTGTATCTGTTGGAGATACTGACTGAACAGAGTGCAGTTGAGATCAATTAGGACCCAACATAAAAAAAAAAAGACGGTGAACTCAACTCGTTTCAGGTTCAGTTGGGAGCTGACTCAGAACTGAACCAACCAAGGTCCAAACCGACCTAGGTTGATTATCGAACTGACCCAGACTAAGGTTTGGTAGTATGGGTCAATTTCCATTTTGAGGATGTAGCGGTTCAACAACAAAAATATACCAAATGTAAAATATCGCTAAAAATATATATCTAGGACATATATTGACAGATATATTAAGAAGATAGTATAAATTTACTTCATGAATGCACCATATATTGGTAGCAGTTTACAATCCATTTCTTAATAGCCAATCTCTCTAACCCAACTCAACCAAAGACCAACTATTAATCCTACATGAATCATGTTTCACCGATCCGTTATTACTAGAACCATAGTCTGTGATTGTTTTGTGATTGTAGATCATTAATATCCTACATCTGTGAGGAAAATATGAAACGGGGTTTCTGAAAAATACATTACTGGCAATGCAAGTTCTGGTTTTACACGTGGCGCCACAGATACAGTTGTGACCTCAGTACGAGCAGCTTTCCCTGTTGCACCAACCATCTTGTCCTTCTTCAACTTTTTGAGCGAAGCACCTTGCTTTCCTCCATCAACTGATCTTTTCTGAACAGAAATTAAAATTTAAAGCAAAAGCAAGTATCTGAAAAGCGTTTGGTGAATGAAGGATTATGAGGGACGGACCTAATGCATTGGCCGGGGGGGGGGGGGGGGGGGGGGGGGCAATTGTCCCACTGAAATTTTTTTTTATAGTAATTTACCCTTGTTAATTTGGTTTTTTCAATTATATACCCGTGAAATATTACTATTGCCCCCCCACCTAATTTTCTGGGTCCATCCCTGGATTATAATACACACACGCAAAGAAAAAAGAAAAGCTGTAGGCATTCGGAAGCATGTTTTTCCACCTTATTCTCTTCCAAGTCCCCTTCCTTTGTTTCTCCTTCTGCCTTTTCCGAATCTGAAAGCAAACCCCCTGCTTTCTCCAAACGTTCTTCTAATGAATCTTCTAGCAACTGTTGATGAACATATGATAAATGCTAAAAGTTCAAAACAAATTAAGCACTGAAAAAATTAAGGATAAAAAATAAAAGATACTAAGGAAACATATAAGCTTCAATATATTAAAAAAAAAAAATACATCATCTGCAGTAATATCTAGTTCAGGAGGAAAATGACAAGAAGCTCACAACAAAAGAAACCTTCAATTATAGGATCCTTACATCTTGTTATTTGAAATTAACTATTTATAGGAACCTATGTTTTATGAATTTTACAAAATTTTGGGGGGCCCATGGTCCCCACATAGTTCCTCCCCTGATCCTGAACACGAGACATCAAAAGGAAGTATTACCCACACAAAATATTCATTTACAACGAACCTACCAGAGTAATTCCTAAAAATATATCAACTACAGTGGGTGATGCTTTTATCCACCTAACCCCTTCAACACTAAAAGCCAAAGCCTGCAACACTATATTTTATCAGGCAACTTGAAGATGGATATTTACTATATAAAAACTGGTCTATTTCCTCCTATGAATATTCTGGCTAACAATGAAGGTACTAACTTCCCTTAAATCTATTCCTGAATTCCAGTTGCACCAATGTTCTACTTTCTTTATGACAAATATTGACACATGGCAAACTCTTATCAAGAACTAAAAATTAAGAAGATGATAACTAAGCAATCCTTTACACCTATAAAATCACACCAAATATGTTTCACAACAAAAATAAAAGAAAAAACTTCTCTACAGCAATTAATAATCCTTTGAATGCTTTCTAACATTTAGAATTCACAAATCCAGTAAGCACACTATTGCAAACTAGGAAATCATAGAAAAACAGTTACTAAGAAGTATAGACAAGGACACAAGACAAGGAGAAGACACAACATGGACACAATAAATCATTATTTTTTAAAATAAAATAAAATAAAATAAAAGTAAGAAGCTGATAAGGTGAGGCCACAGCAGTAAATAAATATTTTTTATATAAAAAGAGTATGTTAAAAATGGAAATTTTAATTTCATATAAATAGATGTAATGTTCTGTGATTGTAACATAAAACTTAAATACTTTTTTAATCCTCCTTGTTGAATAGAGAAAGATGTAACAAGGATTCAACATATATACATGGCACGTATACATGTATATATCTGCATACATGCAAAAAGTACATGCATATATACGTACAACAATAACAACAATCAAAGTCTTTCCTAACACCAATGGGTCAGTGGCCTAGCGGTATCGGCCACTTACTTCTCAAAGGAAGGTTAGGGGTTCGAGTCTCAGAAGAGACGTGTGTGTGAGTACCAATTAAGAAAAAAAAAGTCTTTCCTAACAACTTGGAGGTCAGCTACATGAATACTAATTTTCCATTCTGCTCCAAGGCTATATCCTCAGTGAAACTACATGTTATCATACCTTTCCTTACCAATTCTATCCATTTTGATTTTGGTCTTCCCCTTCCCCTAGACCCTCAATATGAACCATGTCACTCTTCCTAACTAGTGCACTTAGTAATCTTCTTTGCACATGTCAAACCATCTTAATCGATTCTTTCTTACCTCATCTCCAATTGAAGCTACTTCAAACATCTCGTGAATTTGTTCATTTTTAATTATATCCTTCCTCGTCTTGTAGCACATCTATTTCTGCCACACACTATTTATGCATATGTTGTTTTTTAGTTACCAAACATTTTCTACCATAAAGAATGACAGGTAATAGTTGTTTTATAGAACTTCCCTGCCAATTATAAAGGGAAACGTCAATCATACAATACACTAGCCGCACTCCCCCATTTAACTCATCATGACTAGATTCTACGATTAACTTATATCTCTAATTTCTCCTTTATCATGAAAAATTGAGCGTAAATTGTGAAAATGTTTCACTTTTTGGATCTCTTGATCTTCACTACTTGCCCATTTATATTTTTAGAATTACTAAAATTAAACCTCACATATTGAATTGAATTCTCACTTATCTTAAATCCTTTAAATTCTAAAACTTCCCTCCGGGCCTTTGATTTAGAACTTCTTCACTGGTTTCATCATTTAATACAATAGTATCAGCAAACACATGAGCATGGAATCTCATCCTGAATGCGTCTTGTCAATGTCATCCATAACTAAGGCAAAAACATAGAGGCTTGATTTCGATCCCAGATGTAAGCCTACAATAATTGAAAATTCACTTGTTCGTCCCATAGACATGTCCTTATCATATCAAGGTACCTCTTTGCGACTCCATATTATTATCTCTGAGTACATTAATTTAGGATTTCTCCAAATCAATCAAAATCATGAAGATCTTTCTTCTTCTCACTATATCTTTCCATCAGTCTCCTTAATAAGTAAAATAGCCACCATTGTTGATTTCCCTGGCATGATCCAAATAGATTCTCTGACTAAAGTTCCCATCTTAGTCGTTCAATCACCATCTCCCAAAGTTATATAGTATGACTCATTAATTTAATACCACGACAATTAGCACAACTTTGTAAATCCCCTTTATTTTTATATATAGGCAGTAAGTTATTTTTGCACCATTTATCAGGTATATATTTAGTTGTTATTATTTTATTAAAAAAATTTGTTAAGCCTCATGTCATAATCTCATAAACACTTCCAAACCTCAATAGAATGTCATTTGGTACCCAGGAAAAAAAAAGAATGTCATTTGGTCCTAGAAACTTTCATAATTTAATCTTCCTTATTGCATTTTTACATCTTTGTTTAACATCGTGATGTTGTCATCTTTAATTAAAATCCTTGAATTTTTCACTCCTTGTACATTTAAAATAATTAAAATCTCCAATTTCATCTCCTTTCGTTACCAAGGGCCTTGCGGCCTAATGGTATCTCCTCCACATCCCAAAGTGGATGGTGAGAGTTCAAATCCCCAAAGGGACAAAGTGGGTGTGTGTATTTTTCTTGCCATTGAAAAAAAAACTCCCTTCCGTTTAGAAACTTTACATATATTCTTCTCCACATCTTCGTACGGAATTTAGAATTAGATCGCAGTATGTTCTATATTTAGCTTCTTTCAATACCTTTTCAACTTCTTTTTTACATCTTTCTATTTTACAAAGGTCTAGTTTTCTGCAAAATAATGAAATATATAACGTTCCAGTTCTATTTTTGTGATGGTTTGGATATGTTCTCTCCACAACCAAGTTTCTTTTATAATGGTCCTTTTCTTATATATATATATACACACACACATATCTATTTATGCGTATGATTACACAGAAATTTAATGACTCCGCTCTTATTCCTCATGCCTACTCCTAGTCTCCGCAATAAAACCTTCATATACACTTCTGTCTTTAAATATAGTCAAACTCTAAATTTTTTTTTTTTTTAATTCTTTAATTTGATTTTCTTACAACTATTACTTTTTCTTATATAATATTTAAGATTCATTATGTTATCATACCTCTAAGAAGTGTCAGTCATTTATTTATTTTTTTGATAAGTAATAATCGATTAAGAAGCGTTCAAAAGGGGAACGCATCCCATAAACAAGAGTGGAACTTTAAAATATTTAAAATTAAGAACTTTATTTTTAATTTATGAACAAAAATGTGAAGGACACGTGTACGAGAGTGGAAGTGCCCATATCTTAGAAAAGTCATACAGACACGGGTCCTCTTGGAAGTGTTTGTGATCTTCTTAGGCAGTTATTCACTTGCATCCCTTTTCCCCCAACAGGTCTCATTTGCAATCAGATTATCCTTACAGTGACGTATATGCTTGTTATGATTTCCTCTACTTCTAAGAGAATGACCATTGTCACTTCTCCTACTGTCCAAAGGAATTCCAGATGTAAAGCAAAACAATCAACCACTAGCAACAATAATTTATTTTGTTTGCTTAGCAAATTTAAAGAGCAGAAGTCAAAGAATCCCAAAGTCAATATTTGATATGCAACAAACCTAGAACTACAATGCTTTCCAATATTTATTTTACCAAAGCCTCGACATATAAGAACTAGGCTGCTTTATTGACTTACTCCCCAATGTATTTCTTTTTGATTTATCAGATTTGCTGCATCTTGGCCGCTCCCAACAAGTGTAACAACTTCTGCATCATCAGAAATTGAACTAGGCTGTCCAGGAGAAACTGTCAACAGATATCATAAGCTCAATATATCTGCTCAAAAATTGAAGGAAATAAATAAAATTCCAATATGTAGTTTAATAAAATTTATTTTATGTGAATACAAAGATATGGAGTTAAAAAGCTGTACCTTGGAAGTTAATATGCTCATTGATAATACCAAGTATTATAATGGACTCAGACTTGTGTAAATATTGCAGCAGAAGGTCATAAGAGTACTGGAATAAAGAAAAGAAACCATACTCAGCTTTCAGCCTTTCCCTTTATATGACCCCATATTAAGAATAACAGGCACTGGTCACTTAAATTATAATCTTTAAGCTATTTTGATAAAGAAAGCAAGCAATGAAAATAAAATAAGGCCTCAAGATATTAAAAAGTCCACCAAAAATAATAATTATATTGACCAAAGAACTAGTTATCGCCTAGCTTTAATCAGAAAGATGAAATAATCAACGGGGCACAGAAGTGCCTTTTTCATTAATATTAAAAAAATAAAAAATAAAAAGCAACGAATGCCCAAACCCTAATTCATAATAAAAATGGTGGCATGAACCACAAAGTCTTAAGCTAAGCTCATTCAGAATGTCCTCTGGATATTAACTGAGCAATGGCTTGTTGATAGACATGTTTAATCATTAATGGCTCCTAATTCATAATAAAAATGGTTTAAAAGGGGACTCTAGCAGTTCCCTGCTTGCTGCATTACAAACATCCCACCCCTCCTCATAATTTGCTACTAAGTTAATGCAGAAACTAAATCCAGTTCATCTATTCATAGGTAAAATTTAAAGTGAAGTTGAATAAGTTCCCCTCTCAAAAGTAAGATAGGCCAAATTACTCATGAGAAGGGAAAGAAGAGTATAAAGGTTGAAAGTCATGTACTGCTACAAGAATTTTAGAAGGGCCATGACATTGCCTCAAGGATTCAGAAGAAACGGTGAAGCATTGGAGCTTTCTAATTCTGTTATCAAATTGACTACCATGCACTGCCATACAAAAATTTTTCGAGGCAGGGACCATAGAAGCTGGGTTCTTTCCATATCAATCTCAACATTCTCATTGATACCCCCAACCCCAGCCCCAGCCCCAACCCCCCCCCCACACCAAAAAAAAAAAAGGTAACGCGAGTCAGTGCTTACATTGAACACCACGTGTTACATAAATTTATTATTTTATTTAGAGATTAAAATTGAAAAATTAAATAATCATAATATTTAGCTGAGTCTGTGTCTCCTCAGTTTGAGGATTTGATAAATTAGACACTTAGCTGTTGTTTGATAAAACTAAAAACCACTGAAACTTTTCAGAGCTGAATTGTAAGTGCTGAAGTTTCAAGCTATAATTGCAATATTATTATTATTACTACTATTATTATTATTATTATTATTGTGAAATTTAAGTATTGAGCATTCAGGGGTAAGCTATCACTTAATTTTACCTCATTTTAACTAACACTGATTTTTCTAAGTGCCATTCAAAATGCGTTATCAAACACCTTATTTTTGTCTTTTTTTTGGATAAGTAACAATTTTTTAAAGGCACCCAAGAGGAAAGCGCTCCCAAGAGAATACACAAAACACCAAAGGCGGCCAACTATAAGTATCCTGCAGTTATTGAAAATTTTCTAAAAGTTTTTGAAAAATTTCGATACTTGGTCCTATATCAAAACACCAATATGAAAATTCTAAGTGTCCCATTTTTTTTTTAAAGTTATAATTCATTGAAGCCTGCTCAAGAGGGGAGCAATGTTACATTATTCAATAAACGTGAGACCCCAAGTTTTATTCTTATATTAAAATAATGGGTAAAGGGTTTTCATTCAGCTTTCCAACCAAACCAAGTATGCCAAGGAAATCCCATAGCAACATGACTACAAAAAGTGGAAACTTAAATTTGAAAGGCAAATAAAAGTAGTCCAGTCAACAAACAGTAGATGATACTAAATAGATTAATGACAATAATAGACAAGAATTTATATCAGATATGTAAATTATATGTGTGTATATAGTTCGGTCCATATTCGGCGAGCAGAATTGAGATATAAATTGCAAGTAAACCTTGCAAATGTAGTAAAATCTTGAAGTGCAGCTCAACTCCAATTTACTGAATATTGAAAAGAAATTAAATACAAAAAAAAGGTCAAACCTCCCTCTCTGGGGGGTAACAGGAGATACTACTCAAGCTGACAGCTGGTGGTGTGTTAACGTATATCTTTAGAACAAAGGAAACAAGTGTTGGCAATGTAAAAAAAGCACAGGTACATGTTATCAATGATTAAAGATGAATTACCACAAATAAAATAATCAAAGTAGAACTGGTGCTAGAACCATGTTTTAGTGAACTAGAACTGGTGCTAGAACCATGTTTTAGTGTCTTAACCAGTAACCCACAACAATGGAGATATATTTTAACAATGAAATATGCTTCAAACATTTTTTTCTTTTTTGATAGGCTAAAAGTTGGATAAAACATTCGTATCCAAAGCTTCCAGTAGATTATAATTTTGCAATCTAATTCCATTAATTACATGGACTTAAGAATGTCAATGCCCTAACTTCTATAGTAGCATAAGCTGGACATTTGTTTAACATAAGCAAATAAATAAACCTAACATGCACACCTATAACTAAATAGGAGTTAATAAAAATAAATAAATAAAAAAACACCTGGCATATCTTTATATTTACTTTGCTCTGCCTCAGACAATGAGCAAACTCCATCTCCTGAGTATAGTAGAAAAAAGGTTATTAAGGACGGATTTTATTTCAACACAGAAACTACGAAATGTAATATGACAGCCTAGGATAGTAATTAACCTGCAGATGAGAAGGAGAAAGTACACCTTCCAACTTTTGGAGGTCACGTAAATGCATCATCTCATGGTCTTCACGGAAGCTATTGAAAAAATTTCGAGCTGAGAATTCAAACATTGTTATCCAAAACTAAAGTCAGAATATAGAACACGCTAATGGGTGAATTAGGCATGCTTGCAGTGTAAGACACAGATTAACATGAAATACAATAATTACAAGTTATACCTTCTTGAATATGACCTTTTGCCACAAGATCCATGAAACAGTGTATAAATACTGGATAGAGTACACGTAGCAACTCATGCTGCACAGTTGAAATACAAGCCGAGTAAATGAACCTTAGTATGACTATTACGTATACAAGAAATTGAACTCAAGAAATTTAGCTGATTTAGGTAAGCCATTCACAACTACGTGTATTAACAGAATAGCAAAAACAAATCTTAGGTGAATCAAAAGGAGCATGCCATTATCTAAGGAAGCTTGGTAAATAAACCGGAATGCTATAAAGGTTGGAAAAAAACTAGAAATAGCAAAACCTTTGAAAAATACAAAAATGTCAATATGTTTAAAAAGTAGTAAATGAAGCAAATATATATATATATATATATATATTGATTATCAGGCACTAAAAAGGGGAGCGCATCCCAAAGAACAAAGGACCAAAAGAACCCACTATATTGCTAAAGAATCTACAAAATCAACTATATCCCTCACATATTTACAATTTGACCCCTATACCCAAAAGAATAGAGAGCTAAGGATAGAAAATTTCAACATCGAAGTTGGAATCTCCTCACCATCAAATGTTTGCCTATGGCACTCCCACCATAGGCTCCACCAAAGACAAAGGGGCGCCACCCTCCAAGCAACATGAGCTTGCCTCCGAACTATACAAACTCTCTAAGCCACAAGCATGCTTGTCAGGGACTCCGGCATAACCCAGTGAACACCAAACAAAGCAAAAACCATTGCCCAGCCATCCCTAGCTGAGACAATGCAAGTGAACATGACTAACCGACTCCTATTGACGATAATCTCACGCCTCCTCCTCAGATTATCAATCGTCAATATCCTCCACATCACCACTGTCCACCCAAAAAAAGGCCAAGGTGCCTTAGTACACCGGACTACCTTCCATGTAAAAGAAGGCCTAGGAGCATCGACCACCAATCTTCGATAAAAGGACCCCACTGCAAAAAATCCCAAGACTAGAGTCCATCCAACACAAAACTATAGAACATATGATGATTTGTTCTAAACTAGGCACAAAAGATGGGGAGAAGAATATGTATAAACTTGCTAAACAAAGGGAGAGGAAAACTAGAGATTTTAGCCATATTAAATGCATCAAGAGCGAAGATTCAAGGGCTTCAGTAAAAGATGATGAAATTAAAGAAAGATGGAAAAGTTATGTTGACAAATTGTAAATAAAAATCATTTAAGAAGTTCAGGATTAGAAGAATATAAAAATCTTAGGGATAACATATTTTTCCGTAGGGTCAAGGAGTGTGTGGTTAAAAATGCATTAAAGAGGATGAAATCACAATGGGCTTTAAGGCCTGATGATGTTCCAATTGAGGTTTGGAAGTGTTTAGGGGAGGATGGCCTGTTTTGGTTAACAAAATTGTTTAATACGATAACAACAACTAAGAGAGTGTCATATCAATGATGCAAAAAGTATTTGAATACCTATATATAAAAATGAACAGAACATACAAAGTTGTAATAATTATTGTGGCACTAAATAGTCATACTATAAAAATGGTAGGAGAATGATTGAACAATGACCAAGACGGGAAACTGGTTTGTCAAAATATCAGTTTGTTGGATTCAGGTCGGGGAGGTCAATGATGGAGGCTATTTACTTTTTAAGAAGACTAATAGAAAGATATAGGAGGAAGAAGAAAAAAAGATCTCCATATGGGTTTTATTGATTTAGAGAGAGCCTATGATAGGTTCAAGAGATCTAATATGGGTTTTAGAAAAGAAATTAGTCAAAGGAATAAATTGACATAAAAAAGGACATGTATGATGGATGTGTGACTAGAATTAGAATGACTGTAGGGAAAACTTCTTTTTTTTTGATAAGTAAATAATGTATTAAAGAGCGTTCAAAAGGGGAACGCATCCCTCACAAGCTACAAAAGACCAAATAGGGCCTCTAAACCCTCAAAGAACCCAAAAGATCAACAAACACCTCTATGGATTTACAATTTCTCCCTAGAACCCAACAAAAAAGGGTGCTAATAACCTTCTTATTCATTGCCCTTTGGCTAGAGAGTGTTGGGTTTTGATGCTTGGCTTATTTGGTGTTTCTTGGGTTATCCCTGGATCTGCTAGAGGGTTGATTGAGGCGTGGAGAGGTTGCCCTATGGGGGCTCTCAGTCAAGATGCGTGGAGGGCTACGCCGCTTTGTGTGTGGTGGTGTTTATGGCTTGAAAGGAATAGGAGATTCTTTGAAGGAAAGGCTTTGTCGATTTCGGTGCTTAAATTCTCGATTATTTCTACTCTTTTTTGTTGGGTTTCAGGAAGAGATCATTGTTCTTTGGAGGAAGTAGTTGATTTTTTAGCCTCTTTGAAGGCTTGAGGCCTTTGTGGTCTTTTGTATTTGCTTGGGTTCCGCTCCCCTTCTGAGCATTTTTTTTATAAAATTTTTACTTATCAAAAAAAAAAAAAAAAAGAGGGTGCTAATAATGGAGAACTTCAAAGACCCAATAGGATTTTCCTTTCCTTCGAAAGATTTCCCTATTTCTCTCAAGCCAAATGCACCACCAAACGCATAAAGGTGTAACACTTTAGAAATCACGGACTTAAACCCCCACTGTACTACCTTTCCAAGCCTCCATCAAACATCTGGAAGACCTTGGCATAACCCACTGATACCTGAACAACACCAGCATCAAAATCCAACAATCCTGCGCCACTGGGCAATGCAAAAGAAGGTGATCAACCGTTTCCTCATCATTCTTGCACATAAAGCACCAGTTAACCACAATCTGTCTCCTTCTCCTTAGGTTATCTTGAATCAAAACCTTCCTTGAGATAGATGTCCATGCAAAAAGCGCCACTTTGAGAGGAGCATTTGAACGCCAAATAGCCCTCCACGGAAAGGGGGGGTCAAAGTATCCGAAAGACATCTATAAAGAGACCTAACATCAAAGCGACCCTGAAAAGAGGGAAGCCACACCCAAGAGTCAGAAACATCTCCCATGATCTCCTGGCGATACAAGAGTTCCAAAAATCCAATAACATCCTCAATCTCCCAATCCTGAAAATGCCTCAAGAAAAGAACATCCCATACTTTAGGCTTACATCAAGGCTCAGAATTAAGCCCGTAACCTTTTTGCCTTAGTTATGGATGAGCTAACAAGACATTCAAGATGAGATCCATGGTGTATTTTTTGCTAATCTTATTGTTTTAATTAACAAGACAAGAGAAGGGAGTCAATGTCAAATTGGAGGTTTGGCGGGAAGTTCTAAAATTATAAGGTTTTAGGAAAGTAAAAATAAATTGAATGCATGGAGTGTAATTTAAGTAAATCTAGAAATACAAAGGAGGATGTAGTGAAGATTAAGGATCAAGACCTGTGGGGTGGAGGGGAGAATGAAGATGGATCAAAAGGTGCCAAAAAAAAAAAAAGTGACATTTTCATTATTTAGGCTCAATCATCCATACTGAAGGAGAAATTGGAGATGATGTTAATCATAAAATCAAAGCAATGTGGGTTAAATGGAGGAGTCCATCTAGTACATTATATGATCGACGTATACTTATCAAAAAAAATAGTATATGATCGACGTATCTTGTTAGGATTGAAAATGAAGTTCTATTTAAACAAATTAGAGCAGTCGTACTCATTGAGACAGAATGTTAGGGAGCTAGAAAACACCATATGCATAAAGTGTGTGGCAGAAACACAAATGTTGAGATGGATGTACGACAAGACAAGAAAGAATAGAATTAGAAAATGGTTTAAGTAGCACCAATTGGCGATAAAATGAGAGAGGCTGGGACTTGCCCAATGGCTCGGGATAGCTGGGACTTGATTTTGAGCTTGTTTGGGATGTAATGGGTTATGCCTTGGTCTTTGAGACGCATGATTGAAGCTTGGAGAAGTTGTACAGTGGACTCCCAAGCTCGTTACTTTGGGAGGGTGGAACCCTTGTGTGCCTGATGGTGCTTGTGGAGGGAGTGGAATAGGAGATCCTTCAATGGTGAGGAAATTTCTATTGGTGCACTGAAATTCTCTATCATTAGTTCTCTCTTTTTGTTGGGTTCCTGGGAAGAATTGTAAATCTTTGGGGGCGATAGTTGATTTTTTGGATATATTGAGACGTTAGGGGCCCTGTTTGCTCCTTGGGTAGCTTTTGCGGGATGCGTTCCCCCTTTGTTCGCTTTCTAATGATTATCTTACTTATAAAAAGGAGAGAAATTCAGTTAAGATGGTTTGGACATGTGCACAAAAGACCTTTAAGTGCACCAATTAGGAAGAGTGACATGGTCCATATTGAGAGTAATGCTAGGGGAAGGGAAAAAACAAAGTTAACGTGGGTATAATTAGTAAGAAATGATAACATGTGGTTTGACAAAGGCTATGGCCTTAGCGCAGAATGGAAGAATATGATTCGTATAGCCAACCCCAAGTAGTTGAAAAAATGTTCTGTTTGTTGTTGTTGTTGTAGGTTAGCCATTCACAACATCAAATCAGATCAGACCATAGAATGGTATATCGGTATGCTCAATAAATGTGAAAGGAAATTATAATAACAGTATCCATATTTGGGAACAAAACTTTGACTTGTACAATTAAAAGTGCATATAAGAAACCACAATGTCACTTAAAAGCTTCGGCAGTTTTTTTATTTTAACGTCTCTAAAATAATAAAAATTAACCTGAACTCACTGGACATAACCTTCAAAAGAATAGTCATCTTGTCAATTGTAGGCTGTCCATAGATCCTTACAAAGTAAGTGGAGGAAAAACCAGAAGTTGTGCTCAACAGAGTGAGACTCTTGCTCGTGGTGATGTTTTATCTAGACTACTACCATCCATTGTTCCTGGAAACACTATATGTAACTAAGCAAACACAATACTTTCACAAAAGTGGCTGCAGAATGTTCAGTAGAACAGTTTGAGAAGGGTTAACATATGGTCTAATTAGATCTACAAATAAATTATGAAAATAGAAAAACTAAGACCAGAAAAGAAGTTGGTTTCAAACTAGGGGAGTTAGGATGAACTTCAAAGATGCATTTAGAATCTAAAGCACCTCAACGAAGAGTCGTACTTAAAGGCATCT